CTGCCAGACCTTGTCGAAGCTGGGACTCTCTCCTCTGTGCTCACGCGAGAACCGAGGCAGGGAGTGAGAGCCGTGGATGCTGGTGCCCACGTGGCAGGACAGTCAGCGGCAAAGGTGGCCTGAGGAGCACCCTGTGGTGTCAGACAGCTTTGCTGACCAGCAGGGACTCGGGGTCGTGGGAGCAAGCCTGTTCTAGTTCTCTCAAACCATTGAGCAATAGGGAAAGCCCCCTGCAGCCTGCCTGTGTGTCTGTCCTGGCCAGCTCTCTGCTGTCTGCTGCCCCTCCCCCACAGGAAGGACCCCATGCGGGAAGGGCTCCAGCCACTACCAGGTGGCCACTCCAGCCAGCGGCCCTGGGGGAGGAATGAGAGGGCCCGGGGGCGGCGGTGGTGAGGGGGGTGGGTTGAGATGCATTCCTCGGGGCAAGTGACCTGCAAGGAGGAGACCCCTGCGGAGGGAGGTGGGCCCAACAGAGCCAGGGGCAAGAAGGCAGGCTGAGGTCCACAGCTGGCAGGGCTGGAGCGCGGGCACTGGTGCGGTGCGCAGCTAATCCTGGTCAAGCAAGATCTTGCTGCCCGGCCCCCTCCTCTCCCTCCTTCCGCCATCTGCAGAGAGGAGGAAGTGACTGCGAGTGGGAGAAAGCAAGGCACGGGACCACTTCCTCTCCTCCTCTCTCTGCTACAGGCCCCAGCTGGACAAGGGTAAAGTGGCCACTAAGGTAGCGGTTATGAAAGGGAATTCGACGTCCTAGTTACTGACCCAGGGCTTCCTCTACTTCAACAAGGCCAGAAAAATCACGAGTTCTGTCCGAGTTATGACCCAGAGGCAGGCAGAAGAGCTGGATGGGAAGATAGCTCATTTCTTTTCTTCTTTCAAAGATTTTATTTACTCATTTGAGAGGTGAGACTTCTGGGCTGTAATAATTACATGAGCCAGTTCAAAAACGAGAGATCTTCAAACAGTTCGGAGTTTGGGGGTCAGTGCTGTGGGTTAAGCTGCTGCCTGTGGGCTGGCTTTCCATGAGTGCCAGTTCGAGTCCCAGCTGCTCTGCTTCTGATCCAGTTCCCTGATAATACACATGGGAAAACAGCGGAAGATGGCCCAGGTGCTTGGGCCCCTGCCACCTACATAGGAGGCCCAGATGGAGTTCCTGGCTCCTGGCTTCAGCCTGGCCCACCCTGGGCCATTGCAGACATTTGGTGAGTGAACCAGTGGGTGTAATGTATCTCTCTCTGTCTCTGTAACTCTGTTTTAAATAAATATTTTTTTTTTTGTAAAAATAACAAAACAAAAAGATGAGTTAGCTTTGGGGAAAAAATTTGAAATCCATGCATAGTTCTTTCATAATACCCATTTCCCATGATGCTCTTAAAGGCCCTCTGTATTTTCCCTTGCAACTTTCTTTGGGAAAAGATAAATAACCCAATTTTAACACAGGAAAAGGTAGGTAGTTCCACAGAATTTCTCTAAAGAAATGGCTAATAAGCATCTCAAAAGATGCTCAACACTGTTATCTGTCAGAAATGGAGAAATCATCCCCCTGGATAAAACGCAGCCAACTCCTGCGACCCGGCGCTGCCATTCCTAACCACGTCCACACAGAAACAGCAGAATTCACAAGAACTAGCTGGTGAGAACAACCCAAACATCGACTGACGGGCGGATGAATATCACGCGGTATGTTGAGAAAGTGGAATGTTGTTTCCCAATAGAAAGGGATGAGCTTTGACATATGCTCCGGTGTGGATGAACCTCGAGAACACTGCGCTAAGGGAAAGAAGTCGTCCAGAAAAGACCCCACCTTGTGCGATCCCATCCACATGGGACGAAGGATAGGAGAGTCTATGGATGCAGAAAGTAGACGAATGCTTCCAATGGGAGGGCAACTGGAAAGGGACTGCTAATGGCCATGGGGCTTTGGGGGATGACGAAGACGTTTCAGAATTAGACAGCGGTGATGGCTGCACAACTCTCTGAATACAGTTAATGTCACGGAACACTGAATTCTGAATCGAATGGATTCATGGTTCATCCATGAGATAAGAATTACATGAGGTAAGAATTACAGTTCAATAAAGTTGTTTTTAAAATCCCACCAGCTTCTCTGTGAAGACTCAAATATCACCCCTGCATTTCCTCAGTGTCCTTAGCAAATACAAACATGGGCTGGGGAAGGCTGTCTCTCTCTCCCTCTTTCCCTCTCTTCTTCCCTCCCTCTCTCCCCCTTGAAACTCAGTCCCCACGCTGTGGGGAAGCTCAAATCTTCACAAAGAGACCACTTGGGGGACCCCTGTAGAGAGGAACTGAAACTCCAGCCAGAGCCAGCATCAACTGCCAGTCAAGCTAGGGAATGAGTCTTCCGAGGGTTCCAGCCCCCGCCTCTGAGCTGTCCCAGCGAGATTCCAGACATGCAGCAAGGACAAGCCAGCTCTGCTGAGCCTGAATCCTGACCCACCGAACCCAGGAGAGCATCCTGGCATGGCTGCTTTTCCCCACTGTAGTTGGAGGTGTTTTTTTTTTTTTTTTTTTTTTTTTTTTTATGACTCAGCTATCGTAACTGGTACAAAAGCATATAAATAGGGAGTTTGTAGGATCTGTTCCTAGTTTCACATGTCATTTTAGCAACAGTGAGAAGAATGAATAGTATGGAGTAGAAAAAACTTATCAAGGTCCCCTAAAATCTCACAGCTAGAACTGCTTACTCCATCTCCTGCATTTCTCCAGCATCTTGTCAATAAAATGATTCTGCTTGTTGACTTACATCTCCCTTGCAGAGCCAAGAATTAGAGGCTATTTATTCTCACAAGGAAAGCTAAAGTATATCTTGTCTGAAAAATCCTTGAAGATTTTCTGATGAAAAGAAATTATTAAGTTTCCTGCTTAGTCATGTTTGGCCAAACAGGAGAGAAACTGAGGATTTATAAATTAGGAAAGGCAGCTGATTAACAGAAATTGATTTTTAATCCGCTGAGTGTGAGGATTATCTTAGTGAGGCAGCTTCTGTGGTACGGATCATAGGGACAGCAAGGCTTGTCTTCTAGGGTGACAACAGAGCTGAGGAACAGCATGAGCAAACTATCAAAGATTCCAGGGATAATCCAAGCTTCACAGCCGAAGAACGAGATGCGGTCCCTCTAGCCTGAGAGAGCCTGTGTGTGGAGAGGGGTGTGGAGGGGTATGTGCTGTGAGGCCTGGGCCCCCTTCTGGTGTGGCCATTTTCCTGGACCAAGGATGGCGAATGACTCGCCCATTAACCTTAGTGTCTTAGTTGGATTTCTCAGCCTTTGCCAAGGAATACAATTGACTTTTTTTTAAAACTGAGTCCATATTAGTACTGTGCTAAGCACTGAAAAATTATCTGACTTACTGCTTACCATGAAATTATAAAAGTATCAGTGCTTAATTTTACAAATAAGGAAACTGAGGCACCAGGACTTAGCTCCAGGGAGCCAGGATGTGAGGCCAGATCTTACATCCGTGCTGCATCGCGCTGTCCAGGGGGAGGGCCGGTGTCATTCAGAGAGGCATGCATCACCTTGATCAGACCTTCCCTGACTTGACCAGACCACCCATCTGTCCAGCTCCCCCGAGGCGCTGCCGCACTCGCTGTGTTCCTCACTGGGTGGCTGTCTTTCGTCTTACTTGGTTTCATTAAGTTCTGTGCGTATCAGTGTTTCGTGCCTGCAGTAACAGGGGACCTTTGATTGCAAGCTGCTCCCTCCCCTCCCCAGCCTTACTACAGAATGACTACTGAGTAATTCAGTCAAAGGGAAGAACTATCTGGCTTAGGGCAACTCTGGGAGTCTTCAGAGAAGAAATGAACGCTGAAAGATCAAACCCCACTGGCCTTCGTTCTGCCCAGTGTCCCTGGCCCCTGGCAGAGAGGCAGAGTGGGGCCCACCCACCTGGTTTAGGGATCAGCTGGAAGCTGGGGAGGGTGGGGCCTGTGATGGACACGCCCTCTGGCAACAGACTGTTTCTACCATGACGGGATGAGAAAGAGTTCAACTCACCTCCAGAGGAAGTTGGTCAATTTTACAGCCCCTACTGAAGGGTCTGTAATTTTTCACATCGAAAAAGGAACTGTTTATATATCCAAAGACAAGACCAGGAAGCAAGAAATTAAAGCTGTGTATTTTAGTGTCTTTCACAGAACTTTTGCACTGTTATTAAATGTATTTATTTATTTTCTTGAAAGGCAAAGAAAGAGAGAGAGTGTGTGTTTCTATGTCTTGCTTCACTCCCCAGAAGCCCATTAAAGCCAGGGCTGGGCCAGGTCAAAACCAGGAGCCAGGAATTCCATCCAGGTCTCCCACTGAATGGCAGGGGCCCAGCTACTTCAGCCATCACTTGCTGCCTCCTAGGGTTCACCTCAGCAAGAAGCTGGAATTGGCAGCACAGCCAGGAACCAGGCACTCTCACAGGGGATGGGGGAATCCAAAGCAGTGACTTAACTGCTGTTTCAAACACTGGAAAATTATTTAAATGACGAGAGACCTTGAGAAAGCAGAGAAATCCTAATTCTTAGGACGATGCTCCAGGGAGAGGTGCATACATCACTTTAGACGTCCCCCTGAAAGTGAAAGTCTGTTAGGGTCTCCCTCATCTTTCTTCCTTCTATTCAGAGCTGTGTCCACCGGATACACCTGACAGCAGGTTCCTCCTCCTATTTGAGAAGCAGGAAGAGAGAAAGATACACAAAGACACAGAGAGACAGACAGAACAAGCTCCTATCAGTGGTTTACTCCCCAGATGCCTACAACCACTGGGGCTGGGCAAGGCTGAAGCTGGAGGCAGGACCTCACCCCAGGTCTCTCATGTGGGAGGCAGGGACCCAACCACTTTAGCAGCTGTCACCATTGCCTTCCAGGGCCCACATGAGCAGGAAGCTGGAGCAAGGAGCAGGAGCTGGGACTTGAACCCAGAGACTCTGAGGTGGGACACAGGCGTCTTAACTGGCATCTCACCTGCTTGGTGAAACACCTGCTCCAAATGTCAACTTCTTTGAAAATTTCTTTATTTTAGATTTATTACTACACAGTCACTTAATCCTCAAAATGAGTTTACCGCTGACAACTACATAAGCTCCCTTACCCACGCTCCTTGGAGCGGGAAGGAACTTCTGTACAATATATTAGTAGTTACATGATCTATAAGCAACAGAGAAACGGGGACCACTGAAGCACTCCCGATGCACTGCGGACAGGATAACCACTCTCCACCTCACGAAGCTAGGCAACAGAGAAAAATCCCCTTCAGTCGCTGGAAAGTGCCAAAAGCATTTATGAAGAGATAAATGCTTGAAGTTAGCACACAACCTGCCGGGCAATTAAAAGTGCCGTTTGGGTTGGTACCTTTGCACTTAAAACACTGTAGTAACACACCCACTGGGCGGACACTTAATAATACGTAATGTTGTATGTTCGGGCTCCCAGCTCAGCTGCTCACTGCTGCTACAGTGCGTCTGTTGTACTCCGAGTGCTTCGCTCATTCGTCTTCCCTTCTTCCCAGAGCCTAGTGGGACTGTGCAATGCTGGAGCAATAATCCAGAATGTCCTGAATAGTGAATTCCATGGTGACACCTGACCCAGGGTAACAGCGAGCAATCAAGCCTTCGAAGTGCTTGTACTGGCGTATGAACTCATCCTGCATGGAGTGCCACACCACCTGGTATAAGGACAAGGAAAGTCACCAGACATAATCAAGAATGCAGAAATAATACCAAGACACAGTCCAAGGATCTGGCGTGGCCCAAGCAGCTAGCGTGTGCTCCACAGGCCGACTCCTAGCTCCTACTTAAATCTGTCACTTCAAGTACATGACACCACTGCTCTGCGACTCATGGCCCTCATCTGTAAACCAGGGTATTTTGTTTTAAAGATTTATTTCTTTATTTGAAAGGCAGAGTGAGAAAGGGCAGGACACAAAGAGAGAGAAACAGAGAGATCGTCCATACACTGGTTCACTCCCCAAATGGCTACAAACGGCTGGGGCTGGACCAGTCCAAAGCTGGGAGCCAGAAGAAGCATCTTCCAGGTCTCCTACGTGGGTGCAGGGGCCTAAGTACTTCAGCTTTCCCAGATGCATGAGCAGGGAGCTGGATCGGAAGCAGAGCAGCCAGGACACAAACTAGGGCCCATATATGGGATGCTGGCATCACAGGTGGTGGCTTTACCTGCTATGCCACAGGGCCAGTCCCAACCAGCGTATTAATAAAAGCTTCTCCTAAGTTTCTTGTAAGGATTAAATGAGTGAATATACATAAAGTGCTTAGAACATTGTCGGACACAAGTAAGCTCTATGTCTTAGCTATTATCATGCATACACACTCCTATATCCAACACAGACATGGCTATGCACGATTATGAACGAAACTAAAACTAGTGCTCCAGGGGGACGCACATGTTCTTTTTCTAGAAACTGATGCAAAACCTTGCTTGCTACCATGGAGGACACCAGGATGAGTCAGACCTACTATGTGCACTCAGGTGATTCCTACCGCAGCAGTGGAGACAAGAGGCAGACACTGGCCGAGAGAACGTGACACACACTGACACAGTGGTTAGCACCCGCAGATGATATTCAGCGGGGCCTCCCGGACATCAGCGCAAGGCCAGCTGCTTCATGTCCACATTCCTAAGTCTCATGATGACGCGGAGGGCACTATGACATCATCCTTACCTGGCAGCTGACGGAATATATTCTAGAATTTCTTCTTACAAACCTTACATCTCATTAAACCTAAGTTCCTGCCAACTTCAGAATACTCGCTGCCCCCTGACAGTGCTATGCTTTTTGCTTTTCATTATTTAGCCTGTGCTGTTTCTTCCACCTAGAAAGCCACACACTCCACCCGACTCTACCTGGGCAAGCAGACTTTCAGAGGTTCACACAAACCAACAGCCTTCACGAAGCCTCCCATGATGTTGAAATTAGGATCACTCCCACTCAACTCTGGGCCTTTCCGCATGGGTTATAAAGAATAATGCTTAATTTGGGGTTCACACCTGGCTGCACCACTCATTAGGTATGGGATCTTGGGCACATCACTCTGACCTCTCTATGCTGATCTTCTCGTCTACAAAATGCACAACAGCAGGGCCTACTGCACGAGGGAGACAGCACCTTCACTGTTCTGATGAAGATACTGAGGCCCAGAGAGGCTAATGCGCCAAACGCAGGAACTCCGAACTCCAAGCCTTCATGGGGCTAGACTGGACTGCATTTACCTCCCCCTCCCAAATCGGAAACAAAACACCAAATAGAAGAAAAGTAGTCCTTCAGCACAACAAAACAGAATTACAAAAGGAGCAGAAATACGTGCAGATGCTTATGTAGTAAAATCCACAAAGTGGCTGGCGCTGCGGCTCACTAGGCTAATCCTCCGCCTTGCGGCACCGGCACACCGGGTTCTAGTCCCGGTCGGGGCGCCGGATTCTGTCCCGGTTGCCCCTCTTCCAGGCCAGCTCTCTGCTGTGGCCAGGGAGTGCAGTGGAGGATGGCTCAAGTGCTTGGGCCTTGCACCCCATGGGAGACCAGGAGAAGCACCTGGCTCCTGCCTTCGGATCAGTGCGGTGCGCCGGCCGCGGCGGCCATTGGAGGGTGAACCAACGGCAAAGGAAGACCTTTCTCTCTGTCTCTCTCACTGTCCACCCTGCCTGTCAAAAAAAAAAAAAAAAAAAAAAATCCACAGAGGGTCTCCAGGCCGGGGGGCGGGGGGAGGAGAGCAAGGGAACAAGGCAGCGTACCTGCAGTAAGTTCTCTTCCTCACACAGGTGCTTATCAACTTTCTTGTACAGGTTGTCCAGGCCCTTCTTCACCTCCTTCCCAGGGTACTCTCGGATGACTTTGCGAAGCTCCTGCTTGTTAAACGCAAGTTGGTAGCTTACTTCCTCCTCTCTTATGCCCTGTGCTACTCGGGCTTCGACGCCTTCAAAGAAGTGCTTCAAGGGAAGGAAAAGAAATTACAGCTGCAACCTGCTTTCACAAGCATTTACATAAAAAAACCTGATTACAAAATAACATATATTCACGGTATAAAAAGTGATTGTGGAAGTATAAAGAATAAAATAGCAATCCTAAGAAAAATTATCATCTGAGATTTTTTTCTAATCTTTTCATGTGTGAACACATAAATAATTTCATGTTGTATTTTTCATTTACTACTATATGTTTTTTCCTAAGTATGCATTTTCATGGCTGCATAGTACTCCAGCCAATGGTTGAACCATAATTAATTCCTCCAGTACTGGACATTTAATACCCTCCCTCTTCTTGGGAAAGTTAGGAAAATCTAGTTAGACTTTTAGAAATCTATTACAAATACAGTTGCTATGAACATCTAGGTATTTAACTGCACTGCTGATTACTTTCCAGTGTAAATTCCTAGGACTATAATCACTCAAACAAGAAGTATAACTACAAGGATTCTGGAGAGTCTCCCCACAGACAGAGTGCCTCCCCGGGAAGCCCAATCACTGATATTCCTGTCAGCAGTGTATTGCCACTTCACCATAGCATCATCAGCATCATTACAATTTAAAACTAGTGTTCTCAGAGTGAAAAAGATTTGTTGCTTTATTTCATCATTCTTTGGCAATAAATGAAGTCAACTTGCTTTCTCTTACATTTAGTAATGATTCAGGGCCCTTATCCATTTCTATGGGGGTCTGAGTACTTTTCTTACTGATTTTTAAAAACATTTATTTATTTATTCAAAAGGCAGAGCAAAGAGCAACAGAGAGAAGAGAGAGATGAGAGGAAGACAGCGGGGGTGGGGTGGGGTGGTGGGGGGCAGGGGAGAAATATCTTCCATCTGTTGGTTCACTTCCCAAATGCTCAAGGCAGCAAGGGTTATGTCAGGCCTAAACCAGAAGACTGCAACTCCACCCAGAGCTCCCAAGTGAGAGGCAGGGACCAAGTACTTGGGCCATCATCTGCTGCCTTCACAGGGTGTGCATAGCAGGAAGCTAGATGGGAGGTGGAGTAGCCAGGACTCAACCCAGGCACTGGGATATGAGATACGGGCATCCTAAGCAGCAGGTTAATCTGCAGTGTTACAATGCTCACCACCCTTACTGATTTTTATAAAATTTTGTACATTAAATAGACTGATTCTGCTGCATTACAAATATTCTTCTCAGGTTGTCTTTTTTTTTTTTTTTTTTCTTTTTGACAGGCAGAGTGGACAGTGAGAGAGAGAGACAGAGAGAAAGGTCTTCCTTTGCCGTTGGTTCACCCTCCAATGGCCGCCCGGCTGGCGTGCTGCGGCCGGCACACCGCGCTGATCCGATGGCAGGAGCCAGGTGCTTCTCCTGGTCTCCCATGGGGTGCAGGGCCCAAGTACTTGGGCCATCCTCCACTGCATTCCTGGGCCATAGCAGAGAGCTGGACTGGAAGAGGGGCAACCGGGACAGAATCCGGCGCCCTGACCGGGACTAGAACCCGGTGTGCCAGCGTCGCAGGCAGAGGATTAGCCTAGTGAGCCGCAGCGCCGGCCCTCAGGTTGTCTTTTACCTGTATTTGTCTTTTTAATACACAGTTTTCTCTACTGGTATACCTACAGTTGAGTACTATATGTTGTGATTTAATGCCACTCTGAATTCCTCTAATTACTTTTTTCCTCAAATTTTATTAACCACTACTGTTTGTTGTTCACCAAATTATTTTTTATACATTTATTCCTGTTGCTTCAAAAAGTTTGCTTTTACAGAAGCTTTTAATTGGTTATTAATGGCACAGAGGAAACTCGTTGTTTTTCAAGTATGTTTATTTTAAATCCTGCCACTTCAGCAGAGACAACAACTTCAATGTGTCATACATAGGCAATGGTACTCCTGACTTTCCTTCCCAAATTTCTAATTTATGCTGCAGGTCTTGTTGCACTGGTTAGAGCTTCCATCACAGTGCTAAAAAACAAAGGATTCAGGATCTGTTTTTTCCTCTCTTTCTTCCTTCTTTTCTTTCTCTCTTTCTCAAGATTCACTTATTTACCTGGAAGGCAGAGTATAGGGAGAGCTCTCCCATCTTCTGGTTCACTCCCCAAATGCCTGCAATGGCCAAGGCTGGGCCAGGCTGCAGCCAGGGCCCAGAACTCCATCTGGGTCTCCCTGTGGGTAGCAGTGACTCAATCACTTGGGCCACGTTCCACTGCTTTCCTAGGCACATTAGCAGGGAGCTGGATGGGAAGTGGAGCAGCCAGGATGAGATACCGGCATGACAGGTGACAGCTTAGCCTGCTGCGCCACACGCAGGCCTGCCTCGGTTTCTGTGCTGAACTTGATCTAGAAGGGAAGGCCTCTAGCGTTGCAGTTAAGCATCATGTGGGCTTCCATCCCAAGACACACTTTATGGCTGATGACAGTGTCTGTCTGTTCTTAACTTTGATAAGGAGTTGGTTCTGCATTTGATTTGATGACTTTTAGGGACTTCCTTGAATTGCGGACAACAAAAACATACTCTCTGATTCTAATTTAAATTTAAAACTTATAACAGATGACTAATGTTGTAGACAAAATCTAGAAGGGTCCACTTAAGCTTCTACTATGTAGTGAAATTCTCTAAAACTGTCATTTATTACATTATCAGATTTGGTCTGAAAAATGACTCAGGTAAGGAAAGAAAAGGCAATGACAAAGCATTTTTGGTTTTTCTTTTATCTTCATAAAAGTTTGTGAAATCTTCCCCTGAGCTAGGCCTGAAGGCTGCCACTCAGGAGGTCAGAAGCAGGAAGGAGTCCAGAATGACGGACAGGCCTAATTAAGGCTTGCCTCCAGCTTTGCTCTATGACGACATCAGGGAACTTGATTTACATTCAGTTTCTTCATCTGCCAAGTGTGGCTAATCCTGTCTTAGCTCACATCTCTGTTGGTAAGAATGAAATGAATGGGGCCAGCACTGTGACACAGTAGGCCGAGAGACTCCACCAATGGTGCCAGCATCGCCTATGGGCCCTGGTTCGTGTCCTGGCTGCTCCTCTTCTGATCCAGCTCCTAGCTTATGACCTGGGAAGGCAGTGGAAGATGGCCCGAAAACTCGGGCCCCTGTATCCATTTGGATGAAGCTCCTGGCTCCCAGCTTTGGATTGGCTCAGCTCCAGGCATTGAGGCCATTTGGGAAGTGAGCCAGGGGATGAAAGACCTCTCTGTCTCTCCCTCTCTGTCTGTAACTCTGCCTCTCAAATAAATTTAAAAAAAGAAAAGAAAGAATGAAAAGAAACGACATACACAGAGCATCTAGCAGAATCTGGCATGCTGGCAACGTCAGTGACCAGGTCCCTCCTCTCTCCCGGCTTCAGTACGCAGGTGAGTTCAGGACGGATGTCTATACATCGTTTACATGTAAACACACACAGGTTTAAAACCAAGGGGAGAAAAGAAAATATACTTACATTCAGTTTTTCAAGAGGTTGTCCTAAAGAGTAAATGACGTATGACTGAAGGTGATCTGTGTATTTTTGTTTGGCTTCTTTTTTTTCAGCTTCTAGACATGAGATTTTCAAGCGAGAAAGAGTTGCAAAAATGTGGTGAAAGTTCTCCATCATGACCACATCCCTGGGGGTCTTCTGGCTCTCGCTTGCTACTTTCTCCACTGCAATCAAAGCAGAAGAAACACGTCAGCGTCTCCGGGATGAGGACCACCGTACTCGGCTACACGTCCATTTGTGTGATTCATTTTTTAATTTGTTAAATTTAAGAATTAAGCACACTTCTAGACTTAATAAACCATACTGGAAGGTCTTCGTATTCACTGAAGCGTAATAAAAATCATTCTAAAACAGTCCCGTAGATATGAGGAAGTTTAGTATAAAACAAAGGTGATATATCAAATCAGTGGGAAAATGAATTATTCAAGATGTGCTAGGATAACCAGCTGGTCCTTTTGAACACACTAAATTTAGATTACAATTTCACATAGTCTAGCCAAACTTTAAATTGCTCTAGTACTTAAAATGTAAAAAGCAAATAAATGTCACCATAAGTACTAAACAAAATAGAGCTAAGATTTAAGATTGCTTTATTTATTTGAAGGGCAGAGATACAGGTGAAGGCTTAGCCTTCTAGGCCACAGAGCTGGTACCCGAAAATACAGCTAATTTAAAAATAATAATAATGTTGTGATATTGGGAAACACAAATCAAAACCACAGTGAGGTTTCACCTCACTCCGGCTGGAATGGCCCTCATACAGAAATCAACAAATGATCAATGCTGTTGAGGATGTGGGGAGAAAGGTACCCTGGCTGGTGGGAATCTAAACTGATGTAGCCCCTGTGGAAGACAGTATGGAGATCCCTCAGAAATCTGAATATAAACGCACCATATGACCCAGCCATCCCACTCCTGGGAATTCACCCAAACCGAAAGAAATCAGCGTACAGAAGAGTCATCTGTACCCCATGCTCATTGCAGCACAATTCACAATAGCTAAGATATGGCATCAACCCACATGTCCATCAACTGTTGACCAGATAAAGAAATTATGGTACACACACACACACACACACACGCACATATATATACACTACGGAATACTACTCAGCTGTAAAACAAAACAAAACAAAACAAAAGAAATCCTGTCTTTTGCAACAAGATGGATGCAACTGGAAACCGTTATACTTAGTGACATAAGCCAGTCCCAAAAAGACAGCGCGTGTTTTCCCTGATCCGAGTTACTAATAGAGTACCTGAAATGTAACGCAGTGGAGTGAAATAGGCATTTGAGATTCCATGATTGTTCACAGCCCTCGACTCTTCCTTGGAGGAACAGTGTTGTGTTTTTTTCTTCATACTATTTGTTGAACTCTTTTATTTAGTGTAGGGTTAACTATACAATCATTAAGTAAACTGAAGATAGATCTTCGTAAAAATTAAGAGTGGAAATGCAAGAGGAAGGAGGTGGAAGGGTTGGAGTGTGGGTGGGAGGGAAGGTAGGGGAATATGTCACTAGGTTCCTAAATCTGTATATATGAAATACATGAAACTTGTATAACTTAAATAAAATTTTAAAAATGTTGTGATAAGGTGACTTTTTTTTTTTTTGACAGGCAGAGTTAGACAAAGAGAGAGAGAGAGACAAAGAGAAAGGTCTTCCTTTTTTCGTTGGGTCACCCCCCAAATGGCCACTACCACTGGCACGCTGTGCCAATCCAAAGCCAGGAGCCAGGTGTTTCTTCCTGGTCTGATAGGGTGACTTTTCCAAGAACAGCTGACCATAAAGGGAAACCACAAAGGGAGAGATGGCTAAGTTTGACATAAAATTTGGAAAGTCTTACGAAGTAAAAGACACCATAATTAAAATCAATGAAATGCAAATTAAGCAGATAATTTCTATCCCATTAGGTTGACAAAGAATAAAAACATTATGATGCCTGGTAAAAGCCAACACCAGTACAGGCGTAATGGAAACTAGTCCCAACTGTTCATGGCACTCAACTGGTAGAAGCTTTTTGCATCACAATTTGGCTAAAATCTTGAGACATGCATAAACCCTTCAACTCAGCAATTCCACGTCTAGTAGATTACCCCAAGGATGTTATTTAACAAGCATACAAAGGTACACAAACTGGAAAACACTAAATGCCTATTAATAGACGATCTGGTAAATAAAGACACATGGAAGAGGATGTGATTACTAACAATTATTATGGTTGTTACAGTAATTGACAAGGAGAGACAACAGGATTACGTGGTCCAACAGCTTCCAACAGTGTGTAAAGCAGGGTAAAAATCTCCCAGCAACACACTCACGACCTGCACATACACACAAGACAGGGGGAAACGCCGAAAAGTCTAGAAGAATAAAAATGAAAAGTTCTCTCTTCTCAATGAAGATTGATTATTCATTTATTTATTTATTTTCTTATTGATTTTTAAAATCTATTCTCTGGGCCGGCGCCGCGGCTCACTAGGCTAATCCTCCGCCTAGCGACGCCGGCACACCGGGTTCTAGTCCCGGTCGGGGCGCCGGATTCTGTCCCGGTTGCCCCTCTTCCAGGCCAGCTCTCTGCTGTGGCCAGGGAGTGCAGTGGAGGATGGCCCAGGTGCTTGGGCCCTGCACCCCATGGGAGACCAGGAAAAGCACCTGGCTCCTGGCTCCTGCCATCGGATCAGCATGGTGCGCCGGCCGCAGTGCGCCGGCCGCGGCGGCCACTGGAGGGTGACCCAACGGCAAAGGAAGACCTTTCTCTCTGTCTCTCTCTCTCACTGTCCACTCTGCCTGTCAAAAAAAAAAAAAAAAAAAAAAAAAATCTATTCTCTGACTTCTAGGGGTGTGTGTAAAGAGCAAATATCACTTTAAATCAGATAAAGCAAAGCTATTTTAAATTTTAAAAGAAAAACTAACCACACGAACACTCAATCATGAAATTTATCCACCTTTTCTCTAGACTTGCTTCCACTGAAGACATTTACGTGCACCTGGTGAGCGGATTCCACCTCGTCAACTTTTAGTCTTGAAAATTCTCAACTATTCTCATATGCACTCACTTATTTCGCATTAAATGACAAGTCCAAACTGTTTTTCACTTAAAAACTTTGTAAGGCAGAAAGTGAGAGACAAAGAGATAGAGATGGAGGGAGACATCTTGCACCCCTGTTTACTCCCCAAATGCCTGCAGCAGCTGAGGGGGTTGGGAAGGGACCCAGCTACTTGAGCCATCGTCTACTGCCCCCAGGGTGTGCGGTGAGGGTCAGCAGAAAGCTGGAATGAGAATGCAACGTGGACTAGAACCCCAGGCACTCCAATATGGGACGTGGGCATCCCAGGCAGCAGCTTAACCACAGCACCAAATTCTCGCTCCCCAAGCTGCTTCAGCAACTCAACGGTGGGGTCTGACACAGGAAGACAGTGAACTGGAGTATTTTAGCACGCATCTCCCTCACATAACATTTGACAACTGAGGCCTAAAGAAGTAAATGGATTTGTCTAGAGTACACAGACATTCTGCCCATTGTCTTCAGAAGACCCTTGTTCAAATGCAAATGTAGGGGCTGGCACTGTAACACAGTGGATAAGGTGGCATCCCAAATGGGCGCTGGTTCAAGTCCCAGCTCTTCCACTTCTGATCCAGCTCCCTGCTAAAGCACCTGGGAAGACAGCAGAAGATGGCCAAGTGCTTGGGCCCTGCACCCACGTGGGAGACCTGGAAGAGGCTCCTGGCTCCTGGCTTCCGCCTGGTTTAGCTCTGGCCAGTGTGGCCATTTGGGGAGTGAACCAGCGGAGGTAAGATCTCTCTCACTCTGTCTCTCCTTCTCTCTCTTTGTAACTCTACCTTTCAATAAATAATTTTTTTTAAAAGAACAATAATAAAATACACATGCAACCCCAGAGGACATTTTTGTATTTAAAAGTGATTTTCAATTTTGTGTGGAGATACTATAAATAGGTTTCATATATAGTTTATTTTTCAAATTCGAGACATCTTTAATTTCAGAAAAGCTAGAAAAGGCTACAGAATATAGAATATAGGGAGTGGACATTTAGCCTAGAGGTTAAGACCCCCACATACCACATGGAAGTAGCTGGGTTTATTTCCTGGATCCAGCTCCTGCCAATGTAGACCCTAGGAGGCAGAAGTGATGGCTCAAATGACTGGGTCCCTGCCACCATATGGGAGACTTTGATTGAGTTTCTGACTCCTGGTTTCATCCCTGGACTAGTTAAAGGTCACTGAGGGGATTTAGGGAGTAAACCAGCAGATGGGAGCTCTCTCTCTCAGATAATAAAAAGATTTCAAAAATGAGAATGAAATACAGTAAACCTATGTGTCCCCAATTTCTGAGTTACCAGAAATACTGAGAATGACCACAAAAGTTCTTTACAACACAACAAAAAGCTTACCATTAACAAACACTCCTCTGATAAGTTTTGTATATGCTTTATCTAGATCTCCACGCCGCTCAGCATTCTTAAAGATTGATTCTGCAAGTCCAGCAAATTCTTCAAATTCAGCAACAAATGGAAGAATTCCAACTTTACTCTTCTTTGAGATTTTTACTTCTTCCATTTGTCTTATTTGGTTACTCTAAAGTCAGGCGGAAACAAAGGAAGAGAAACAAACAGCCAAGCAACTTAGAAACTACTCGTGTTTATCATTTGATTATGCATCACGGAGGCAGAACTTACACAGGACCTAAAACCTCTTGGACACCTACTAATTGAGGGAGACTGTAATGGGGATAACTAAGAAAAACTAGTACTATGGCTTAAAGAAACTTTTCTAATATGTTTTATTATTTAAGAAAATAAATTCAAGGAAAAAATCTAAATTGTTAAAAAAATACCATCAAGGCTTGTGCGCCTCCGGTCTGTCTTCAGAGTAAAAACAATCAGTATGCATTTCAGTCGTTCATGACACCCTCTGGGTCACAGCAGCACAGAAACCAGCGCACAGGCCTCTCTTCAGTCTCTTGTGGCTGGCAGCCATCTGGCCAAGCCATTTCCAAATCTTACCAGTCCAACATCTCTCTTTGGGACAGACAAGCTCTCTCTGGCAGGTGTAGGAGCACAGAGAACATGGGCATTTTATCATGGACTGCATTAACTTCGTTTGCTACATACTCATTACTTATTCTATGTTCAGCAAAGTGCTTGTGCTGATGGTGACAAAATGTGGAACGGATGTTTTGTGTGCACGGATTCTAGGGAGCTGTGTTCAAAAAGATCCAGAGATTCAACCCTGGTGCTCTGTCATTTCTAGGGGATCTAGATCCAGTAACAGTAAGAACTACACTTCCCAATGCTGTTGGAACATTTAAGCTTCTATTTAGACTTTATTGCACTGGGATTATGGGCGTGTGAATTGAAAACTGTATAATACGTGGATAAGAAAAGTAACCGCTTATTTCTATGCTGAAAGACCTGTGATACTGAGAATGATTTCGTATTATCTTTATTAAAGTTATATTTTACCAATATTGATAACTGTGGTGTGTAAAACCAGGTGCAATAAACAAAGTAGTGGCAAGACTGCAAGTGCTGGAACCAGACTGTCAGTCTGGGTGCAAACATGACGTTTTAACTGTTGACCTGGGAAAGCAAGCTCACCTCGGAAGCACCTCCCTTACGGAGGCTGTGTTAGCATGAGACGAGGCCGTGTGGGCTAAGTGCTCAGACCCGTGCCCAGTCCACAGCATGCACTCATTTATCAATGCTGGCCCTACTGTTCTTAGGAAGCTGCACACAGATTGCGTGTGTGTGCGCATGTGATTTAAATGTATGAAAAATAGATGATCGTTGGAATGTGCTTGCACATTAGGAGAGAATGTTCTAAGTGAGTTGTCTTCTCCAGCTTTTTGACCAGTAGGGTGGGAACAGTGGATCCATTTAAGAGAAGAGCTGTCAGTGAAGGAGTTCTGAGAGAAACCATCCACATTTCTTTCAAGCTATCAATGTCCATTATTTCCAGTCAGCCCGGACCCTATTTCCATGAGCAGGACACCAGACACGGAGGTGATTCAGTGTTTCAGTCTGCAACTTTGATGAGGGCCGTGTGTTACTTTGCTCCTTGTAAATCACTGTCTATAGCACTTACCAAATGATACAATGCTCAAAGCTTTGGGAGTGCAAACACACATCCTCACACCAGCAGGAGGAATCCTACAAAGCAGACTAAATCCAGTTAAGAAAGGTGTGGCTTGGTAGCACTTCATATAAAAGCTCCTTTCTAATCTCAGCAATAGTCCATGATAAGCTCTCTGTCTTAACCCTATTCTTTGAAGAACACTAGATACTCTGGATGTGGGCACTTGATGAAACATACAAACACACTTACTATTTGTTCAGTTTTCTGCAGCCTTCTGACATTAGTGAGTTTTACTTAATAAATACCCATTCCTGACCTTTTTGAACTCCTTTATGCCCTAGGTCCTGCTCCTGTCCCAAATACCACAATATACAAAACTTATTATGCACAAATAATCTACCGGGCACTGTAGAAGCCTGACAAGGAAGACAGGCAGCAGGAGGAACCATCTTTCATGGCAAGAGGCAGATGTGAGCCACTCAGGAGAAAATGTGAATTTGTCCTTTCCCGGTTACGGCCTTTCTCCACTGCCCTGTCCTCAGAGCGTCACGAGCATCGTTCAATGAGCTTTATTAATCCTGCGAGGATCACGGCCACCTCTGCGCTCCACTGCATTGTAAGCTAGCAGTGAGGAAGTTCATCTTTGGGGCCAGGCGGTGTGTCAGACACATCATCTGAAACCAGGACAACATCCACCTGCCACCACCCCCTCAGTTCTACTACATGAAGCTACAGCTCACTAATAAACCAACCACGCCTCTGTATCCAGTCCTGTCCCGTGACTCAGTGTGCTGACTGTCACAGGGACTCACTTCCTTCTCCTTCCAGCGACCGCCTGCAGTCAGCCCGGCGGTTTACGTCCACTTCTGGAGAAGTGGGGTGGGAGGCCCACAGACCTGGGACGGCTGTCAAATGTTGGAGTATTCAAATGCCAACTGAAATCATTTGGTAGGGAAAGAAGCTTAGCAAGCCAGCTCAGGTTACCCTTAAAGTTTCAACAGTAGACATGGATTGCTTTTAAGTTTTCAAACATTCAATCAATGTTATTACTTTTTAAAAGTATAAAATGATATGGATTTTAATTGCCCTTCACATGCTTATTCTCCATTCTTGTATGGATATTCAGCAGCCATTGTGACTTTGAGGATACGCAGGAGATATGTTCAAATGCCACATATCCACTGTATATCAATTAATTAATACACTGACACTTTAAGGGCCTGCCTCACCCCAGTTCTCACCTTCAAGCTCACCAACTCCGAGATAATAAAACAGTTTTTTTAATTGTTTCCCTTACTACAGAGAGTAAAATAATTCCTCGAAGTTATTATAAGAACAATTTATTCCTACAGAAACACAATTATTAAAGGCACTAAACTATCAGTTAAATAATTTAATCAATCAAGATAAATCTGTTTTGTTAGAATAGATTCAAATAAAAATGGCAATAAATCCCAGTGACAGTTCCTTCTGTTTCATCAAGTCAGTGGTCACTGGCCAGGAGGCTGAGACGTCAGCTCCCTGGTGGCTGCCAGAAGCAGTGGCCACCGCATCCCCGCTGCAGAACCTGCCAGCAGCCACAGCACAGAAGGGAGACTGGCTGTCTGGTGCCATCCAGCTAACTGCCCCTGCAGCTCCTGCCAACACCCTGCTGCCAGGCTCGGAGAACATGAACACTAAATTCCCAACATTTTAGAGCTGGAGATCCTTTGACTTATATATATTTATTTATCTTTTGAAATGACTGGAGGGGCCGGTGCTGTGGTGTAATGGGTAAAACTGCCGCCTGCAGTGCCGGCATCCCACATGGGGGCTGGTTCAAGTCCCAGCTGCTCTACTTCCCATCCGGGCTCTCTGGCCTGGGAAAGCAGTGGAAGATGGCCCAAGTCTTTGGGCCTCTGCACCTGAGTGAGAGACCAGAAGAAGCTCCTGGCTTCTAGCACCGGATGGCACAGCTCTGGCCATTGTGGACACCAGGGGACTGAACCAGCAGTTGGAAGACTTCTCTCTCTCTCTCTCTCTGCCTCTCCTTCTTCTCTGTGTAACTCTGATTTTCAAATAAATAAACAAATCTTTAAAAAAATTAGAAATTAATGGAAATACAAATTTAAAGAAAAAAACTTACAATGCATTTGTCAAAGTTCCTTTTGACAGTCACCAAGACGTTTCCCAATGTAGTACTCAGAAAAGAAGCAGGGTCCACATTTTGTGCAGTCCACACGTGATGACTCATTTTCACCAGCATGTAGAGGGAGTTAAAGCTATCGATTTTGTCTCCTAACGCAATTAGGTTGTTCAGTTCTGGCTCAATGCAGCGAAATATTTTAATCATCATTTGGCGGATCATATCTTTGCTGTTCAGAAAACATACAAAAAATACTGACAGTGATTACAAGTTTCAGGTGAATTCACCCTTAGGTTTAATCCCCAGGGTATATGGGTGTATACAAAACGAAAAAAATTTCATTATTTCAACTAAAAATGTCCAAAGACAAGGAGCTACTTATTCTACAGTAGTTTTTGATATACAATATTTTACTGATATTAAGTTTTATCACTCAAATTAACCTGATGTCATTTGCAAAGCTGGGTTCTGAAAGCTACTTTGTGACTTCTAAGAAATCCACACTGCAATTCAATTCAATTCCCACCAGCGAACATCAAAAGTGATGGCCTCTTATGAGTACTGGGGCAAAAAGAGTCGAAGTGCCCCACACCAGGACCACAGGTTCGATAAGGAAGTGAACGTGCGCATCCGTGGCCTGGCGGCGGCAGGTTTCTGAGACTCATCAGGCCCCTCAGACAGCAGCTCCCCTCTATGCTGCGATCTAAGTGCTGCTTCCCAAACCAACCAGAGACAGGATCAGACACATACTCAGATGAAATGGGCAACGGTGTGCCAGAAGGATGCTGTCGTGACAATGTTCCTCCATCCAGGTCCTCCGTTTCAGCCTGCAAAAAGTATTCAGGCACTTTACATAATAAAAGACCAACAATTTCTCTAGTTTATATAGCAAAAGTCTCCTCAGTCTTAAAACTCCTGGGAGAGAATCCACGATGGAAAACACTGACTTTTAAAGGAGCATTACTGATAAAGCTACAGCACTCAGTAGGCTGCTGAAGAATGCTCATGAGACGCTCTGTCCTCAGCTTTCATCGGAGAACCACTGTGGGTGAGAAACCGAATTTGTCTGTGTGCACAGGACCGAGGCAAGTACAGGAGGGTGAGGGGGTGGGGAGCGGAGGGCAGCTCAACAACAACAGAAATTGGGAGTGGTGACTTAAGTCACTACTAGGGATGTCTGACACCTGTATCAGAATGATGGTTCAAGTCCCTTCTCCTCTGCTTCCACCCAGTCTCTTGCTAATGTGCACCCTAAAGGCAGCAGATGATGGCTCAAGGACTTGGGTCCTTGTGATCCACATGGGAGACCCAGACTAAACTCTAGGCTCTTGGCTTTGGCCTGGCTTAGCCCTGACGGTTGCAGGCATTTGAGGAGTATACCAGCAGATAGAAGCTAACTCCATCTCTCTGTCTCTTCACCTTTCAAACAAAATAAGTAAATATTTTTAAATATTAAAAATTCAAGAAGAAATTGTCCTAAAACAACTTTCAAAAGAGAATATAAAAAAATTAATGCTATCTCAGCAATCATTCAAATAAAACTCAGAATTTAAAACAATGCCATCATGTTGAGTCTTCATAGAAATATTTTCAACCATAGACAGGAGTGTCAATTGGTAAAGTCAACAACAGGAGTCACTGTGCACTTACTCCTCATGTAGGATCTCTGTCCTTAATGTGCTGTGTATTGAGATTTAATGCTATAACGAGTACTCAAACAATATATTTCACTTTGTGTTTCTATGGGGGTGCAAACTGTTGAAATTCTTTACTTAATGTATACTAAACTGATCCTCTGTAAAAAAAAAAAAAGAAAAAGAAATATCAACTCCCAACTTGACTCTCACTGGGATTAAACATGACAATAGGTCTGATCTGATTTCATCATCATTTAAAAAAAATCATCTATTATTTTTCACTTTATGTTTCTGTGTGGGAGCAAACTGTTGAAATCCTTACTTAATGTATACTAAGCTGATCTTCTATATATTAAGATAATCGAAAATGAATCTTGATGTGAATGGAAGGGGAGAGGGAGTGGGAAAGGGGAGGGTAGTGGGTGGGAGGGACGGTATGTGGGGGAAGCCATTGTAATCCATAAATCGTACTTTGGAAATTTATATTCATTAAATAAAAGTTAAAAAAAAATAAGCGATAAACCAGAGGCTAAATCATGAACTACAGAACATCTCAAGATTACAATGAAATGAGATATCATTATTTTCACTCTAACATTTCTAATTTTTGATTCACTATTATTATTGTTATTATTAACTATTATTGTTAATATTAAAGTTACTTTTTCTTTTAGATGCTGATATTAAGAGGTTATTTGTTTTTTCTTTGTATGTATTCATATCTAATCCTGCAAAAACATTTTCCACTACAATTTATCTCCAATTGTGTAATAGGTATTAACATAAAAATATGACTTGGCATACAGTATTTATAATAAATAATTTTAGAGGGTATCAAAAAAAAGAAATATTTTCAACATTTTCATAAATATTAATCTCTATCCTACAGGCTGTATTAAATGGCAAGATAATAAATGTTTTTTCTGTATAAAAAAAAAACAATGCCATCAAAAATTCTTTTGGAAGCTAGTGAGAATGAAAATTTAATACCATTCCATGATAATGAACTCCCAACTCCCAATCAATTGCAACAAAATGAATTTCTCATTCATTTTTTGACTGCTTTTTATATTGGCTGTCTGAGGTAAATTTCTTTCTTTTTTTTTTTTTTAAGATTTATTTATGGGGCCAGTGCCATGGCATAGCAGGTAAAGCCGTTGCCTGCAGTGCTGGCATCCCATATGGGCGCCAGTTCGAGTCCCAGTTGCTCCACTTCCAATCCAGCTCTCTGCTCTGGCCTGGGAAAGCAGTAGAAGATGGCCCAAGTGCTTGGGCCTCTGCACCTGCATGGGAGACCTGGAAGAAGGCCCTGGTTCCTGGCTTTGGATTGGCACAGCTCTGGCTATTGCAGCCAACTGGGGAGTGAACCAGTGGATGGAAGAGACTTTCTGCCTCTCCTTCTCTCTCTGTGTAACTCATCCAAATAAATAAATAAATATTCAAAAAAAAGATTTATATTTACTTGGGGCCGGCACTGTGGCATAGTGGGTAAAGCTACCACCTGCAGTGCTGGCATCCCACATGGGTGCTGGTTTGAGACCCGGCTGTTCCTCTTCCAATCCAGCTCTCTGCTATGACCTGGGAAAGCAGTGGAAGATGGCCCAAATCCTTGAGCCCCTGCATCTATGTGGGAAACCTGAAGAAGCTCCTGACTCCTGGCTTTGGATCGGCTCAGCTCCGGCTATGGTAGCCATTTGAGGAGTGAACCAGTGGATCTAAGACCTCTTTCTCTCTCTGCCTCTGCCTCTCTGTAACTGTCTTTCAAGTAAACAAATCTTTAAAAAAAATTATTTAATTATTTGAAAGGCAGACAGACATTGAAAGAGGGAGAGACTGGGAGAGATCTTCCATCGGCTGGTTCACTCCCCAAATGGCTATAATAAGCCAGGTCTGGCCAGGCTGAAACCAGGAGTCAGGAACTCCACCCTGGTCTCCCACATGGGTGTGAGGCGCCTACGCACTTGGATTATCTTCTGCTGCCTTCCCAGATGCATTAGCAGGAAGCTGGACTGGAAGTGGAGCAGCCAAGACTTGAATTAGCACTCCAATAAGGGATGCTGGTGATGCAAGCAGTGGCTTAACCCACTGTACCATAGTGCCAGCCGATGCCCTTAATGGAGATGACCTTAATCTGTGTTCTTTTTTAAGTTCTTCAAAATCATCTAGAAAATCTTTTATTTTTCTCTCTTACACTGATGCCATCTGAAAGGCATGGTAGTATCAAAGCCAGAAGAGAGACCCAGATTCATAAGAAAGGTCTCACCTTGTTTGTTTGTTACACCATAATGTTTATACTCAAATATCAGCTTTTTACAAAACTGTACTTGGGATCCAGCACTGTGGTGCAGTGGGTTAAAGCCCTGGCCTACACTGCCAGCATCCCATGTGGGCGCTGGTTCAAGTACTGGCTTTTCCATTTCTGATCTAGCTCCCTGATAATGTGCCTGGGAAAGCAATGAAGGATAGCCCAAGTCCTTGGGCCCCTGCACCCACCTGGAAGACCTGGAAGAAGTTCCTGGCTCCTGGCTTCGGATGGGCTCAGCTCTGGCCATCATGGTCATTCGGGGAGTGAACCAACGGATAGAAGACCTCTCTCTGTTTCTACCTCTGTCTTTCAAATAAATAAAATAAATCTTTAAAAACTAAAGGCAGAGACACAGAGAAGCAGACAGAGGTCTTCCATCTGCTGATTTACTCCCAAGTGCCCACAACCGCTAAGTCACAGCCAGGAGCTTTGAACGCCATTTGGGTCGGTCTCCCATGTGGGTGGTAGGGGCCCCAATTCTTGAACCATCACCTGCTGCTTCCCAGGGTGCACATCAGCAGGAACTGGATTGGAAACCAAGTACTTGGGACTCAAATCAGGTGCTCTGATATGGGATGCAGGTGTTCTAAGCAGCGACTTAACCGCTAGGTGAATGTCCCCCTAAAATAGCTTGTAACCAACCTTTTCACAAAGCAAAATGAGACACTCCTCCCACCCCATAGTTGAGCAAATGATTAGACTTAAGATATTCCGGAATATTAAAGTATGCCCCAACTCCAACTATCACTGTTTTTATTATTTTGTGATATGACAAGAATTGTTTTAATGACGCTTACATTGTAAATCCTTTCCTTTCCTTTTCTATTAACGTCGAACTTGTGAGTACATATTAATCAGACTAATTATGCTGAAGATCATAAATATTAGCTGAAATAAATGGGAGTCATACCATAGCTCCAGGTATACTCTGATGTTGCTGCAGTTTGAAAAATTTACTTATGAAATCCTGTTCGGCCAAACACAGGGGCTCCAGTTCACTGAGTACCTGTTCAAAGATCTGAAGAAAACCAAAATGATCCTGTAATGAAAGAACTGTAGCAAATGCTTAATATCAGTAACCTCTATCCATGGATCTATAAACTTAATAGAACTCCAAAGACAAACTTCCAAAATTGACAAAATAACAAGATTACAGGACATACCTAAAGTAAAACAGTTACATTCACTTCAGATCTGGAAAGAAGGATATGCAGATATACTTTTAAAACTTATTTATAACACAGAGAACAGAAAAGCTATTATATCCTCTTGATTCATAGTTGCTCAAAGAATTTAGATGAGATATAAGCACTTTATGATTTACCACAAATACAGGTTAATAAGGCTTTTGTTACTGAATTGATACTTCACATTTTAGCTGCCATGTGACTAGTACTTTTTTTTAAAGATTTGCTTCAGAATTTGCAAGTAAGACATGATTATTAAAGGCAGCCAAAAGCACCAAAATTTTCAAATACTGAAGCAATCACAAAATGCAGTTATAAGAAAACTGACGCTAATGTTTAAAAACCACTTGTTGCTCTACTTTACCTTATCAAACTTGGTTCTGTCAGCAACATCGAGGTCAGAGGCAGACATGTTCCCCATATCCAACAGAGATGATGACTGAGATCTGCGATTCCCTGAACTCTGAACGCTGAGTTTATTTAGACTAGAAGTAGATCCAGTTAATTTCCCGGAACTTCCATGAAGACCTAAGAGATAATAAGACTGAAAGTCGTAATCTCCAGGAATAAACGATCCAGAGTAAAATTCAGTGCTATCTTCCACTGTTTTGGTGTTCCAGTGCACAAGGCCACCATATGGGACAGGCTGTACTGTGTACTTACCTTTCATTAACTCTGTGTCCTACTGCTGAGCATTCTATAAAGGACAAAACTACACAGATCCACAGAATGGCACTGAAAGGGCCTCTACAGACCATGTATCTCTGCCCCACCGTAAAGGTGCGTGGTGGTATCTCTAGACTGAAGGCGGGAGGGTTTCCTTCCCAGTCAGAAGACAGAAATACAGCATGGGCACGGAGCACCACGGAAACCTACTAACATGACTGCTCTACCTGCCACTAAAAATCCCATATCCCAGTGTTACTTGCCTCTGTGTCAAAACAACAAGTCTATCAATACTTGATCATTTTGCTCTATACAAAAAAGTCAATTATATATGATTTGATTTAATATGTTCCTAAACCCAGAACCTCTGCATTTCCAGTAAGTGAATTAACCATAGCTCTTTTAAAACTAAATAACATGAAGAGAAAAGGGCAGCCTGAAAACCTGCTATACTTCAAATACAGTGGAAATGCCATGTACACGTCACTACCCATCAGCCCGGGCACTGGTGTTTAAGCAGGAAAAATGAGAACACAGAGCTGGACAATACCCCATGTACACCAAGGAATTAAAGGATTAAATTTTTAGAAGAAAATGTGATTGCTTTATTCAAAATGAAGTAACAACAATACATGAAATAGTTTTAAAACATTTTTCTTGAATATTTGTCAGTTAACATACCATTTACTAGTGGTCAGAAGGTTCAAATGAAGACTAATAAGGACTTGAGACAAATTTTGGCTTTATTATGCAAGATCTGACCATATATATAAGACATTTTATAATTTCTAGACACAGCCTGAAAACAGAAGTATAATGATTAAGCCTTTTCGTGAGCTTCTGACACACAGTTCTACTGGTCGTACACTTGTACCAATACTGCACATTTCTCGGATGTAGCCGTATCACTACCATCACATAGTTGTTGACTTTTCACCAATACCTGGCAATTCAGAGCAACTGATGTTTCTGGGGTTAACTTCTTTCAAGACAAGTAACTAATTTCTAGACAGTAAACAGACATGCATGGAGAACACCTACTAATACACTAAGCATACTCACTCTCTGTTTCCTGTTTGCCAGCACTTTCTTTTCGAGGCAGTGTAGCTGTGATGGATTAGGTTGCAAGCATCAAAGACAAAGACAAGTTAATAAACTGCAATTCGCACAAACCATGCACAAGAGGAAGTTAAAGCTCTAGTTTAAAAAGACACATGCAAAGAACCATGAGCATCAAGTAAGGAGAGGTACAAACACACGCTGAGTTGGTCACTACTGTTTGAGAAACTGTATGAGAGAAAACGCTTCATTGGTCTTTTAATGTACTGCTTTTACTCAAATATTCAGGGAAAATATATTTGTTGCCCTCTCTCCCATATTTTTAGATGACTTTTTTTTTTTAAAAGTATGTGAAGCTGTTTCACTTACATTTAAAAGAATGAATTTGAAAGTTTGGGTTTTCTGAGAAAACATCGGTTAAATAATTTAATTCAAAGGAAACTTATTGGAATGAAGTTATTATAGATTTAGACATTAACAAACTGGTATTCCCTGAAAGCCCCTGCAAGGAAGTTCTATTACACTAAATGATTTTATATAACATCCGATTAAAAATGACACAACTGGGGCTTTAAGACCATTTTAAAATTAAAACTATCATGTTAACAACCAGAGGATGGATGGATAGAAGAGTAAAGCTAATGGAACAGATTTAATACAGGAATTTCAACTCTCTTAGGGTCATTTAGCATTTCTTTTATCTTAAGACTTCTATATATACAATATTTATTAGATCAATTTTAGAATTCACCTTAAGACACATTCTAAACTCAAATTAGAAGTTAATGTGAAAAGCGAAGAAAGAAATCATAGAATGAAACAAAATTGAAGCATGTAACTATAATCTAAAGACATCTTAAAACCAGGGTGATGTGTCAACTGACACTATCCTTGCCAAACTTCAAGGCAAAAGCCGGACGACACGTCGGGCCCTTGACAAAGCAGTGATGAGCGTATCTTCCTGGCCTTGGCTGCCTGAGGGGCACATGAGAGGCTGGACATTAAAGGGGCCAACATGGCGAACGCGATCATTCTGGAGGGAGCACGGCAGAACACTTTCTGGTGGCTTGTGGTGTCACGGATTTATGTTGATCAGTTTCACTGCACAGCCTGACACATTCTTTCATACAAGCCTCATTTCTTCAGTGGCCAAACAAGAACACAGAGCTAGTCATAATGCCAGTTAACTATGATTTGGGGCTCATGAAAAGCTTATGTCTTTTATCAGCAGCAAGTGAAAATACACAGGAAAGATGTCAAATGTCTTTATGTACCCCTATCTGAGCATCAGCTTCATAGAGGGCAAGGGCTGTGCTCACTGCTGCATTCCCCGTACTACAACAGTGCCTATCACGTGACAGATAACTAGTAGATGACCGGCAAACATTGACGGAGGCAATCGTCCAGCCAGCCCTGAATTCTACCTTGCATTCAAGACTCCCTCTGGAATCAGCCAGATTTCTTAGTTTAGTGGAGAAATGATGATAACATGATTTTGGCCCACCATTTTAAAGATTTCTGAAATCTTAGACAAACAGGAGGGAAAGCAGCAATTATGTAAAGGTATATTAAGAGGCTAAAATCTCATATTAACATGTGTATTATCTTAACTGTACAAAGAAGAAAATGGTGATTTTAAAATAATTACTAAATTTTCTTTTTCTGCCATCTCATTACGCACATTTGTGGAATACAAAGGAAAAAACATCAAAACAGCAATCCCGGGTCGGGCTGGGGTGGGTTGTTTCTATATCTCTGGGGCCATCAAAGCAAATCCACCAAAAAACACAATAATCAACATAAAGATCTTCTCACAAAGATGATTTCCTGGCATTGTTAGCACACTACATTTTGAATCATTTGAACTAAGTAGATGTTAAAGATTTGAGTCAAGAGTTGTTGAAAAACAGAGGATTATACCCCTCAGAGGATTATACCCTCAATGACTGCATGTTTGGCCACACAGTTCCCCTTTGCGAGAGGCAGTCAATCTGACTAATCTTATAAGCATCTGGAAGCGAGGATTTTTCAGAGCAAGTAAAAAACAAAATAAATTTAATTACTTAATTTTTATTTCCTAAGAAGTTATCTTTCTAAAATTTCAGTTTTTATTTTAATTATTACTATTAAAAACAATTTGAATTGCTGAAAAATATCTTTGAAAAAATTTACATTCCACCTTATATGGAACTTCTCAAGTCATCTGTATTTACCTTGACATTTATTTTTAAAATGCTAACAAGTTTGAGCTTCAAAAATGAACATTTTTATCATCTGCATTGTTTGTTTATTTTTTCCTCTTATAGCTGATATTAAAATAACTGACACTCTAATTTGGTAATTTTTTATGCCACCTATTATCAAACATTATTCTGCCTGTTCCTATTTAATAGGTGCACAGAAAAGTTAAAATTTTAACATGTTCAAAACTATAAAAATGCCTTCTAAACCTGTATTTTGTGAATTAAAAATACTTTTAACAAGTTAAAAACTTCTCAAGCGGCTAGAAAAGAAAAAATTACATTTTAGATTAATGCAATAACATTAAAATACTATTATAACTGATTTAAGTTATATTTTTATTATTGAATTTATCTTAAAATGCATTTTATACTTTAAAAGCTATTATGATACTAGGATTAATGCTTTACTAAGCATATACTGGGAAAGATTTCCTTGTGTCTCCAGTTTCCATATGCTGAAGGAGAATTCTCTCAAAATACAACGGTTCACTAACAAGTGGTGACAAATGTACTTAATGAAAACATTAAACATGTAACTGCATTAATACTATGCTCTTTACTCAAAAAAACAAAAGCATAACATATCCACAGTGAAACATTAACAAGGATATCAACACACCGCTATTTAAGAACAATTAACCTTTAGGATGAGTTAGCATTTCTGTTTCCAAAAGCCTATTGCCCTAGATCTCATCAGTACCTTGTCAAAGCGAGCAGATACACACAAAACCAAACCATGTCAAATGTCTGGACTAGCACAATCAATGCATTCGTGTTAAACAGCCGGTGACTTAGAGAGTATTTACCTACTAAAGACAGTCTTCTCTGTCCTACAAGAAGAATGGAAATGCGTGCTGTTAATTCACATCCAGTCCTGCTGCCTGATGACTGAGGTGGCTTAGGGCATAGGCTCCCGACAACAAGCAAATGCTGAACTCATGATTCTAAAGGGGAGCTACACAGACACACCGAGGGGGACACAGGCCGCCGTTTAAGGCTGGGTTTTGACTTGAATAGGCACAGAACTCCATCCAAAAGGAACTCCAGAAATGGGGACATGCAAGAGCAGAATGTGGCCTCGGCAGTCGCCTTCCTCAGAACTTGATACTTTCGCTGGCTATTCTTTCAAATAACACTGTCATCCATTCAAAGTGTTTAGGAGCAACAAAAATTCACGTTTCAAAAAGATCTCTTAGAAAAACGAGGTATAGTCATTGAAGACATTTTGGCGGCATTTTTGTAGTCATGTGGCTGGGAAGAAACTACTTAAATTTTCTTTTTGATTCAAAATAGCCAGTGAGAAGTAAGAAGCCAGGAATAACTTTTATTTCTCTGTGGAGAGCAAGACTTTAGAGAGCAAGGACTTGCCCCCAACTGGGGTCCTTTAGGGAATCCCAAACTCAACTCTCCACATCTCTTGGTCTCAACATCATCTTGTCTCTTGGTCTAATACTTTCTCTAGCAGGCTGCACTTCATTTTCTCACCTAGTGCATTTCCTATGAATATATATTTTTAATTACAGCACAAAAACACAATTGCTGTCAGATTCACACCCTGTAGAAGTTTAGTAAAGAACATATTCTATGAAATACCTGGAAATCAAACCAATGGATTAGATCTTCTCCTTCATTTATTCCATTGTATCTTCTTCCACCTTGCTTAAAACCATTTTTAATAGGAAGACAAAAAAACTGATATGCTTCAGCTTACCAAACTTCTTGCTTTCTTTAGTTGTGCCAGTCATCTTGATCTTTGCAACTTCAAAGAAATCTTTGATCTCTCTTTCATACAGTCGGGACAAATAATCCATGTAATTCTTAAACAAAAAGTAACATGTGCTTCTTATTAATAAAATATATATAACAATTTTAATTTTAAAATCCCCCAAGACTTTCATGCTTGTTTTAAATTGTGTGTTCCAAAACTCTGATGCATTCACAGGGCATAGAAAGCAGGCTGTTTTCTTTTAAAAAAAATTGAACGGGCATCATAACATGAACAATCTACAAAAATATGAAGCCACATATAAGCACACGTACATTTTATTTTTACACATGACCTGTTTTAAATATCGCGGCAGTCACACGGCACAGGATGTCAGAATCAGAGCAACCACGTTGTCTCAGGCTGCAAGGACAGCGCGGCATTCAGCGCCGCTGTGTACGCAACTGAGGAAGCCAACCCCTCAACAGGAGATGCTGAGCGGTGTCAATGTCTGACTGTGACAGTCAGTGCTACAGCAAGCTTTGCAAGCCCAGTGAATTGTGTCCTCGGAACGATTTTCTCAGAGTGGGGTTTCAGGGCGAAAGAGCACTGGTGTCTTAGCCCTTCCTCTATGCGGCCACGTTGCTTTACTCAACAGAGCCAACAGAATGAGGGACAACATTCAGCTTCATCCAGCCTTTGTCAGCTTGCAGTGTCACCTCAAAATGGGCTCTTTTCAGTCAGAATTTAATTAGTTCACCTCACAGTTTCCATAATTAGATAATCACTTCTTTTAAAAGATTTATTTGAAAGAGTTAGAGAAGGACAGAGAGAGAGAGAACTTCCGTCCACTGGTTCACTCCTCCCACTGCTGCAACAGCTGGGGCAGGGCCAGGAGCTTCTTCAGGGTCTCCCACAGTGGTCTCTCCCAAGTGGAAGAGGCACTTGGGCCATCTTCTGCTGCCTTCCCAGGGACATCAGCAGGGAGCTGGGTTGGAAGTGGAGCAGCCAGGACTCGAACCGGCGCCCATATGGGACACCAACATCGCAGGCAGGAGACTTACCCACTGTAACAATGCTGGCCCCAACTAATTTTCTTAAAACCAATTCAATCCTCACTGATGTGGAAAGCATCTATTATGTAACATGCAGTTATTTCCTCACACCGGCTTCTTGTCAGGAAGGACTCTCAACAATGGGAGACCATATATTCTGTCTCAAGTTACATGTCACAGTTTGACTACACTGGAATAAATCCATAGCAGAAAATGTCTATCTAGCAATTAATTTATTTTTTTAAGATTTATGTGTTTATTTGCAAGGCAGAGTTACAGAAAGGTACAGGTAGAGAGAGAGTGAAGTCTTCCATCTGCTGGTTCACTCCCCAGATGGCCACACTGGCTGGAGCTACATGATCTGAAGCCAAGAGCCAGGAGTTTCTTCCAGGTCTCCCACATGGGTGCAGGGGCCCAAGCACTTGGGCCATCTTCCACTGCTTTCCCAGGCCACAGCAGAGAGCTGGATGGGAAGTGGAGCAGCTGGGACTCAAACAGGCACCCATATGGGATGCTGGTACTGCAGGCCAGGGCTTTAACCCACGATGCCACAGTGCCAGCCCCTCCTTCCTAATTCCTTTTTGTTTTAAAAGATTTATTCATTTGAAAGCCAGCGTTACACAGAAGGGGAAGCAGAGAGGCAGAGGTCTTCATCCACTGGTTCACTCCCTAATTGGCCACAACAGCTAAACAGCTAGAGCTGTGCTGATCTAAAGCCAGGAGCTTCTTCTGGGACTCCCACGTGGGTACAGAGGCCCTCCTGATTCCTTTTTTTAGATTTATTTTTACTTTTTTATTTATTTGAAAGAATTACAGAGAGAGGTAGAGACAGAGAGAGAGGTCTTCCAATCTGCTGGTTCACTCCCCAGATGGCCACAATGGCTGGAGCTGCGCCGATCCGAAGCCAGGAGCCAGGAGCTTCTTCCAAGTCTCCCACATGGGTGCAGGGGCCCAAGGACTTGGGCCATCTTCTACTGCTTTCCTAGGCCACAGCAGAGAGCTGGATTGGAAGAGGAGCAGCCGGGACTTGAACTGGCACCCATATGGGATGCTGGCGCCACAGTGCCGGCCCTGATTCCTTTTTAATGAAAGTTCTGGTTTGACAACATTTCAGCAACCAAGCCAGATTATGATGTAAAAACATAATCTTTCAAAAGCACAAACCACAGGATCAAGGAACATTCCGGGGAAATAACCCAATTTCATTAAAAAGCTCACAATACTGTTAATCAAAAATATACTCTGAACAGAGAGTGATTCCATAAATCACTACTAGGTTGACTACAGTCTTGTTTCTTCACTTTAAATTATACTCATGAATACTGTATTATATATAAAGACAGGGCAATAATACTGAGAACACAATTAGGCAAAAAGCTTATTGATTACTTATTTGAATATTCACTAGGGGACAAAGCACTTGTTGGCACAGAACTCTTAAGGAGATATAATTTATGTTTAATTATTCAAAATATTAAACCTCCTAAAATTTCAAAAGGCAAAAAATTCCAGTAATGTATTTTTCCTTAAGATATCTGCAAATCAGAATTCCGCTGAATAAAACAAAACAAAATATAACACAACAGCAGAGTTGTAAAATACTTACTAGACTCATTGTGAGTAACAACAATAATCTAAACTACCTAGCCTACCTAATAATAATCTAAACTACCTAAACTACCTAGCCAGATAAGATGTGTCAATACCTCAGAGGATGAACAACCTTTTTAAAAAGCATGTTTTAAATTCTAACTTTTAAATATTATTTATTTTAGGGGGTTTATGTCTCCTTTCTCAAATCTTAGTTTGAAACAGAGGGAGCTCGGGCCTGAGCTGTGGTATAGCAATGCCAACATCCCACGTGGGTGCCAGTTTTACACCCGGCTACTCCACTTCCGATCCAGCTCCCTGCTAATGTGCCAGGGAAAGCACCAGAGGATGGCCCAAGTGCTTGGGACCCTGCACACAGGAGATCTGGAAGAAGCTCCTGATTCCTGGCTTTGGCCTGGCCCAGTCCCAGCTGCTGCAGCCATCTGGGAAGCGAACCAGTGGATGAAAGATCAAACTCTCTCTCTCTCACTCTCTCACTCTCTCCCTCCCTTCCTCTCTCTCTTTCTCTCCCTCTCTTTCTGTAACTCTTTCAAATAAATAAATCTTAAAAAAAAAAAGAAGAAGAAGAAGAAATAGAGGGAGCCAGATCTTATCTCACACGGACAAATGCACTTCAACAGAAAGAACAAGAAGACGGAGAGCTAAGAACATCAGAAATACGTTGCCATCACACATTGCTAGGAACACGCAATTAGCCTCTTCCTCAGTATCACACACATCACTAATCTCTACTCAACGCTTTGGGCTTCTCCTGAAACGTGATCCTGAGACACTCTGCCTCTATAATGGCAATCCCAGTGTTCTCACTCGTTCCAGGACACACAATTATTATTATTTATTAACACAGCTTATGCATTTCTTAGATTTTTTGTTTTAAACTTCAAATACACAAAAACTTATGGATAAAAAGATTTTAAAACCGAGCTGTTCTTCCAGACAGGAGTATCAGGATACTATTGGCTATTTACACATTTCAGTTAGATAGATGGCAATTCTTAAGCTCTGTTTTTTTTTTAAAAAACAAGAGACACGATGTCTACTTCCTAAACTGAAGCCCACAGCATAAATGCCACTGAAATACTGTCCCTGTCCTGTCACAATAGCCACTTATGAAATCTAAGAGTTTATCACTCCACGTCTTGAGTCTACCAACAGCCACAACTCAAGTCCACCTCCCCACCTCATGCACAGTAAAAACCTGACTCTTAGGGTGCTCTAGCTGCCCTTCCAGATGCGCCCGCCTTGGCTCACAGTGTTCCGGCCTCGCCAGCTCCGGACTGCTCAAGCACCGCTGGCCTGCCCTGTCCGAGAGCCCTGAGCTGTGCCCGCCAGGAACTCTCATTGCTCACATCCCCATGTGTGTCAAACCTGTGCTCAGACACCAGCTCTTCCTGACTCGCTTCCCTGCCCATCGTGTTTGACGTGGCAGCCTTCCCCATGTCCCAGCATTCCCTCTTCATTTTCTCCAGAGCTCTTAGCAACACCTCCCGACACACACCGTATTAACTGTTCTGTCTCTCTCCTCTAGAGTGCGCACAATGAGAAGCATGCCCCTGTCTCCTTCAAAGCTGTACCTTCAGCACCTATTACACTGCACGCACACGACAGTTACTCAAGAAACTCAATCCATTTTATGGTACGAAAGACCCACTAAGTCTTAGTCAGTGGTACCTACAGGCATCCTCACCCCAGGCCTAGAAAGGCTGCCATCACCCCACGCCTGCCGCTGGAGCCCCTCTCTTGGTTTATATTCTGTCTGGTCCTTCCGCTGTCTTCCTGGGTCCATGCTGCTTCACCTGAATTCTTACACTGGGCTCTGAAATCATTTTCCCCTCCAGTCTTCCCCTGTTGGAGAAATGCTGTCAGGCTACACAGCTGATCCCTTTCCACACAATTCCTCACTGCTCTAGACGATGGGACTTCTGCTTCAGTCACACTTGCCCTCCTCTGGGTCCGCCCCGTGTCCCAGTGCTCTTCCTCTTGCTTCTGCTTCATCTGACCCCACTCGTGATTTGAAAACTCAACTGAAGTCCAGCGTCCTCCATGAAGTTACCCCCACGGCTTCAGGACTGATTTCCCGTCTCTCAACTGCTGTGTATTTAAACTCAGTTTCAGTTTAGCACTTATTTTTTGATTGTTTTATGTACAATTCTTCCCAGTCAGATTTAAAGATCCTGAGGCAAAGGCTTATTTGTCAAGGCACTGGTTCCTAGAATAGCGGCATGGTTGTTAATCGAGATGCATTGTGTACTGTCTTATCAGAATGGATCATAAATTCTTAGAAGGCAAATAGCTCACTCACATATCTTCCTACTCCCTAACATGCATAGCGCACAAAAATAAACCCTGGAAATAATTACAGCATATAACTAAACTGAATTATGCTTCAGGCTATGACATGACTTACTACTATTTTATATTGAAGTCCAAAATATAGATCTTCCTTATCAAGATAGACAAAATAAGTTTTATCCCTGGTTAATGAGTACTCAGAAACACAAAGAATTTCTGCTCTGCTAAGAATATATAGTATTTCAAACTTGGGGGCTGCATACATGACCTCTTGACTGTAAAAGATTAAAGTCTACACTCCGTAACTGATGGCTAACCCATACCTTTGTTAGTCCTTCATATTTTCCGTAATCTGTACTCTTGAGCCACTCCATCAGCTTGGCGTAGCGGAGCAAGTCTCTATGAAATGGATGATGATTGGGTAAAGTCAGTTCAGTGGAGTGCTGAGCAAGAGTCGAACTCTGATCATGACCCTAGAGTAAAGAAATAAGTAAATAAACATCACTGACAGTTCAAAGAAACACTGTTAGAAATGAAAATTCTAAACAATGTCCAAACATGGCCAAGCAAAATCAACAGAATAGGAAAAATAAAAACCAAGTACTTACATGTCTTCCATCATCCTGTTAATACCCACTAAACACTACAAGCAAAGCACTCCTAAGTAATGTAAGAATGGTACTCTGAGAAATCAGCTTCTCGTCCCACCTCCTACACAGGAGTTGGAAATGGATGCTTTGATCATGCTTGTCTCTCTCATGCATATATCATGATATATCTTACAACTTACTAAACAAATCTCAACACAGACTGCATTAAGACACTACATGAGGAACATTACTCATAGTAAACTACATTTATGATATTTGCTTACTGTCTACAGTATTTAAAAAAATAGATAAAAATACATAGGATATAGAATTTCAGAACTAAAAAGGATGCAGATGACTGTATGTTGGGTTTTCCAGGATAATCCCTAATAATAACACACACATGACTTTGTTTTTAAACCTGGATAAAACTTCCACATAAATAAGTTAATAAGTTAACAAACAGTCTTAGGCAGATAACGATGGGAATTCTGCTCTGGAAAACACAGACATGGCAGACCGTCTGATCCATCCTAGATGATGAAACCAAAGCTGAAGGGGTTAAATGATTTCCCTAGTCACACTGGAGGAGTCATTTTAACCAGCTTCAAAAACTGGAACCGCCTGCCAGTTACTGTATACAAAAATAAAATCTCCCCAGTCCTCTTCCGACAGCATGCCTCTCCTTCACTGCTGCTGGGCCAATGGTCGTCACGGAACTCAAAGCCACTAAGAGATGGGAAGCCGGAAAGTGAATGGGGCCCATTCCCCTGGAGAAGTGTAATTCCCAAGAAGAGAGGGCAAAATAAGCCACATTTAATTAGTCATTTTCACTCAATTTGACTTGTCTTGAGAATCAGAAGCTATCTGTTAGAATTTTGAGAAAATGTATTAAAATGACAAAGACTGTTAGAGTTTTGGGACTGGTTAACTAATTTCCTGGTAAAGTCATCTAAAGTTAATTATAAACATGTGTTATAATAGCTCCTTGCTGATGCACCTGAGAAAGCAGAGGAAGCTGGCCTAAGCTCCTGGCTTTGGACCAGCCCAGCTCTGGCTGGGGTGCCCATTTGGGGAGTGAACCAGTGGATGGAAGAGCGCTCGCTCTCGTTCTCTGTCACTCTCTCTATATATATAATCTCTGCCTTTCCAATAAATAAATAAATCTTTTTTAAAAAATATGGTATGGAGCTGGCTCTGCGGCATAACAGGTAAAGCTGCTGCCTGTGGTGCTGGCATCCCTAAGGGTGCTGGTTCGAGTTCCAGCTGCTCCACTTCTGACCCAGCTCCCTGCTAATGTGCCTGGGAAAGCAGCAAAAGATGGCCCCTCTACCTATGTGGGAGACCTGGAAGAAGCTCCTGGCTCCTGACTTTGGACTGGCCCAGCTCAAGCTGTTGTGGCCATCTGAGGAGTGAACAAGTGAATGAAAGACCTCTCTCCGTCTCTCCCTCCCTCTCTGTAACTCTGCCTTTCAAATAAACAAATTAATCTTTTTTTATAAAAAAGGTAAAACTCTATTATTTATGTAATTAAATACATGATGTTTTCTTAAAATTTTTCTTTTTTTTTTAAAGATTTATTTTATTTATTTGAAAGACAGAGTTAGAGAGAGAGGTAGAGAGTCCCAGCACTGGTTCACTCCCCAGATGGCTGCAACGGCTGGAGCTGCACTGATCCAAAGCCTGGAGCCAGGAGCTTCCTCCGGGTCTTCCACATGGGTGCAGGGGCCCAAGGACTTGGGCCATCTTCTACTGCTTTCCCAGGCCATAGCAGAGAGCTGGATCGGCAAAAGAGCAGCCAGGACTAGAACCGGCACCCATATGGGATGCCAGCACTTTAGGCCAGGGCTTGAACCTGCTGCACCACAGCGCCAGCCCCCCAAAATTTTTCTAAGACAAGCACATTTTATAAAAACTTCATTACATTTAAATTTTCACTAGCATATATATCCTTAACATTTGCAGTAAAATTTGCTAATCTGAACACCTGACTATAGCCAAGCACTGCTCTCAGTATTGAACAACATAAACATGTTAATCTTCCTAACAGGCCTCAGAGGTAGGTATTTTTATTATTCCCACAGACTGGATAAAGCAACTAAGGTGATAAAAAGAGCTAATGGGCTGGCGCCGCGGCTCACTAGGCTAATCCTCCGCCTTGCGGTGCTGGCACACCAGGTTCTAGTCCTGGTCGGGGTGCCGGATTCTGTCTTGGTGGCCCCTCTTCCAGGCCAGCTCTCTGCTGTGGCCAGGGAGTGCAGTGGAGGATGGTCCAAGTCCTTGGGCCCTGCACCCCATGGGAGACCAGGAGAAGTACCTGGCTCCTGCCATCGGATCAGCGCAGTACACCGGCCACAGCGGCCATTGGAGGGTGAACCAACGGCAAAAGGAAGACCTTTCTCTCTGTCTCTCTCTCTGTCCACTCTGTCTGTCAAAAAAAGAGCTAATGAACTTGTTCAAGGTCACTCAACCTGGAAGTGGCAGAGCCAGGATGGGGGACCCAGGATGTTTGACTCCTATGACCACACTTTAAAACACTTTGCTAGACTGACTAGCTGACAAAAATTATACATCTGGTCAAATTTTGAATACATTTTCAAGATTCAGGGAGTCTTCTCTTTTGACATAACTATTTTTATTTTCTTAAAGAAGAAAAAAATTGAGTAAAGTTTCAACAAATGTCTTAAGAACAGATTTAATCATAACAAAAATTTTAAAGATTCATTTATTTGGAAGAGCAATGGGGGGAGGGGCAAGAGGAAGAGGCAGAGGGAGAGACTGAGAGTGAGGGAGGTATCTTCCATGCAATGGTCACTCTCTAAATGGTTACAATAGACAGCTAGGTCTGGGCCAGGCCAAAGCCAGGAATAAGGAACTCCATCTGGGTCTCCCACATGTGTGTCAGGAACTCAAATACTTGGCCCATTATCTCTGCCTTCCCAGCCACAACAGCAGAGCAGCTGGGACTCAAACTGGCACTCCAATTTGGGATACTGGTGTTGCCAGCAGTGGCTTAATTTGCTTAGCCACAACACCAGCCCCATTATTTCTTTGAAAAAGTCTTTTTTTGGTAAATGTAAAAATGGTTGTCTTGGTCAGTCTTCAAATTTTATTTCTTTTGATTTTCTGATTTTTGTTCTTAATTTGCTATTATGTTTACTCAACAGATTATTGCCCCTGGATTTTCAATATAATATTTATCATGTTACTATCCACTTTGCAATAAACTGCATTGATGAATTCAAGTCCTACCTTACCTGTGAATCCATCTGACTCCTTAAATCCTCAGTAATCTTACTTTTGCACTTATAAACCATGGGTCACAATTAACAATTTATTATATACATTGCTATAGGTCTTCAAGTAGATTAGTCTTAACTTCTTACAAGCATCTCCAGGGCAGGAGCCATTCCTCATTCTTACATATGGATGGCAGTAAGTACATAATAAGCATACAATGAAAATTTGGTGATTGGTAAAGAAATGGACCATAATATATTACTACATTTTTCCATGTTTCCTCTTTGCTACATGATCTTATGCACTGAATTCAACACAGAGAAAATCTTTTTCTTGACCTTAGGACATCCTCTTCCACCATCTTCAGCACATCCCACGTTGTTGCAACATTCTAGTTTTTAACATGCACCATTCACATGTAACAATACATTTTAAATTTGCAGAAATGGGAAGCATTCATTTTAAACCAAGCCATTATTAGTTCACAAGGCAAAGAAGCAAAATCATAAATAACTGCAGGTTATAACAAACAGGTAAGGGTACAAAAAGGACTACTGTTCACTGACTGGTGTTTTCAATACATCTATAAACTGTAGATAACTTCATCATCAACACTATCATTTTTAAAAACTGAGGAGTCATAGAAATTAATGCTATGGAACCAGTGTTGTGAAAAAATGTCAATTGGTATTCCCTACGTGACAGAATTTTAAATTTATTTTTTTCTTGATGCTTTTCAGTTCAAGACAAATGCTGAGGGGGTCTTCCCTGACTGCTCCCCACGCTTAATCAGGAAACCTGTCTATGCTACCACAGTACACGCAGCACAGCAGTTACCCATCCTGACTATGTCTGTCTGTCTCCCATCCCTGTTCTGGGAGCTACTAGCGGACACAATTAGTCTGTCATTTATGCCAAGTCACTGTCTACTACGCACCTCTATCACTGGCAAATAATTACGAAATAAAGGAAAGAGTAAACGAGTGAGTGAAAGAATGACAGGAAGAAAGACAAGCAAAATGAAATGAAATGCCTTTTTATTTTTTGGCCAAAATAAACTCTGCTATGGGACATTAAAACCAGCTACAAATATGGTTAATGGGTAGCTCAAATCAGTAAGCTAAGTTATAATGTATAAAGATTTTGCCACTAAGTTTAGCAGACTTTACTGGAAAAAAAAAATATAACCAGAGAAGCTTGAGCCAAATTTGATGTACTCACAGGAACCGAAAGAAAGTAGGACCTGTTATAGAGCTGAAGGAGGGCCTGAGTAAACTAATCAGAAATAAAATATAGTAAATACAATTGTTTTAGAACACTGTAATGTGACACCAAAGAAAGAACCCAATGCTTTCAGGTGGCATTTCCTGATAAACATTTCCCCCCCGATTTTCTTCACCCAATAACCCTAATAAAATATAGAGACTAAAAACATAAGAAATGTAATTTACTACACCGAATATTAAAATGCCTTCTAATCCCGTTAAGGTACTCCTAATACACATTCTGCATAGTAACATTCTTTCGCATATAAAGCTACAGGCAAGGTGTTTATGTGATGATTAAGTCAGCTGAGATGTACAGTTGAGCTCTAGTCATTTCCCACAGGTGTACTCTGCATATAAGCACAGAGTGCCTACGAAACAGTTAAAACAACATACTTAAAAATAAAACAGGCCCAAAGGTAAACATATAACAATCGAACTTACTTCTATAAATGTCTAAATGGTATATGAGTTAATAAACATAGTTATTTATTTGATTTTTAGAATCAGAGAATTTCAGTTGAAAGGAACGAACCTGTCTATCTAATGCCTAAAACACATCTATGAACAAACATGCATGTATTTTAAAATCTTAAAATAAAAAAAAAATGAAGGAATCTACTGCAATGTCAACTGAACACATTAAATCCTTCATGAGAATTTAAAGTAATACATAAACAAGCCAGAGAACACAGCAGCTTTAAGAGTAAATGAATTACCTGCTGAACAAACACGTTGTTGAGGTGACTGGCCAGTCTCCGGGCAAAATGCTCTCTCAGGTCGCCGAAACGCTGCTGCTGCTGCTTGACTGCCAGAAGCATGTCATGGCCTGAATGTCAAGGACGTCTCGTGAATGATTTCAGGTGTAAAAGGACCCTTCACTCTTAACGAATGTATGGATAAAGCACCCACATCAAAACGCTGAACAACCAAGTTTTACTGGCTTATTCTTTTCTTCACAAAAGGTAAGCAGGAGAAAAAACAACAGTGCATGCAATGGTTCTCAAAGTGTGGTCCCACCTGGCATCGCCTGGGAACTGCAGAAGTGCGCATGTACTGAATCTGGGGATGGTGCCTGGCCCCTGTGTCTTAGCAAACCCTCAAGGTGATTCTGATGCACACCCAATCCACAGTCTAGAAAAACTTACACTGTCTGGTCTAACCAAAGCATTTGCTTTGTGCTAGGTTCTAGGACAGTGCTAAGGAAAGCTCACACTGTTAACCAGAGTCAGTGGTAAGCAGTCAGAAGGAACTAAAATGAAGACGTTTCTAATGTTCACAGATACACTGATATACTGGAAAACAGGTGAAACTCATCTGAGTAGGTAACAACGTTACCCTTACGTCATTTGCTGCATGTACTCCCTGTCAAGCTCCTTACACCTCGTGCAGGCTGTCTCAGGAGCTTGGGGAGATTAGTGCACACACCTGGTCGAAGAGCCACGTTCATGCACTGCAGAAGGGCATCAGCAGCGTTGGTGCAGGCCTCAATGCCTCTGGAAGAAGCAAGATCTCCCTCCTGGAGGGCCTTTATATGACCTTTGGCCAAGTCCATGTGGTTCTGAAATATATGCAAATACACCATTTGCACACAAAATTTTGGAGAAATTTTAGGCGAGCTGTTACTTAATCCTATCACCTGGTCTTTGGAATTATTTTAAATCTTTAAATCAGAGCATTTTACAAACAGGCTTTATCTATCGTCATTTCTGTTGCTTTTATATATTGTACTTACCACAAGGAACTCTATCTCAGACAGGAGCTTGACGTTATTGGTGTTGCTAAGGTGGATGAGGTGGTTGCTCTCGGAAATCTGATCCATCTGTTCTTTCACGCTTTGGAGCATTTCCTCATAGCTGCTCAGCTTCAATTCAATCTGGTCCACCTCCTTGAGAGCCTCATCCAGCAACTTCATCAGGATGTTCACTTGTTTCTCAGAGGCCATGATTGACTGGATGTTGGCCTACAATGTTAAAAACAAAAAAAACCACTTCGTGTTATTTAAGTGTGTAAACGGAGTATAAAGATGAAATGTTGTTTCCATGCTTTGCAAATTGACTAACAAAAATTGAAACACATCCAAACATCACTTTATGTTCGTGCTCCACTTCTAAGACAGCTTTTCATGAAGACGCACTGGGCTCTCAACAAAGGTTAGGAACCGTTACTTGATATTCTGTATTTCCTTAGTCTACAAGTAGGTTCTGTCCCAAAATGCACCGTCAGAAAGGGCACATTTCCACTTCCGTAAATTTAGGGGCATTAGGTCACGTCATACATCATCTCTAACACTTCTTCCATTTATACCAGCTACAGAAAATGTCCTATACTTCTTAGCATCTACATGAAACCCTAAATAAGTGTAAAATCATCTAGTTAGTATCTTAGTTCGGAGGGCGGCTGTAGTATGCCAGTCTTTGAAGGATACGTGGAACTAATTTATAATTGCAATCCTAACTAACAGGATACGGATAGATGTTCTTTTCTCTCTCATTTGCAGTGATTTTTTTCTTCAAGGCAAAGCAATAACAAACCACAATCCCCTTATCACTGTTTTCTAAGAGATTTCACTATTGATTCTGAATTCTCTGAAACCAGGAAGCTGCCAAGTCCAAACTTAAACTGCAAAACAATATGATGACCTGAAACATATATGCAATATTAATTAGAAACACAAATATAAATCACTAAGCTGTATTAAGAAGGCAAGTAACAGGGCCAGTGCTGTGGCACAGTCAGTAAAGCTGCCGCCTGCAGTGCCAGCATCCCATATGGGCGCCGGCTCAAGTCCCGGCTGCTCCACTTCCAATCCAGCTCTCTGCTATGGCCTGGGAAAGCAATAAAAGATGGCCCAATCCTTGGGTCCCTGCACCCACATTGGAGACCCGGCAGAAGCTCCTGGCTCCTGGCTTCGGATTGGCTCAGCTCTGGCCATTGCGGCCATCTGGGGAGCGAATCAGCGGATGGAAGACCTCTCTCTGCCTCTCCTTCTCTCTCTGTGTATCTCTGACTTTCAAGTAAATAAATAAATCTTAGAAAAAAAAAAAAGGCAAGTAACACAGTGTAATGAAAAACTGGCACAAAGAACTGAAACAATATCACCATACCGTTGATGCTATGACTTACACATTATTTTGCATATTATTCAAAGTAACTCAACTGCAAGTACAAGTCAATCATAAGAGTCAGCAGGACTTGGAATCCACTGACACCTCCTCAGTAACAGAGCTGGAGTCTGAATCTGCCTGACAACTGACACCACATCTTGAGATTTCTTCTAGGCTCAGTTTCCAGTGGATTTGGTAAACTGATACTTACAATATTCATGCAATCTCTCTGGGTGTGAGATCACACAATTTCTGACCGTCTATGTGTAAAATCTCAAAACCTTAAAGTCTTTAAAATGTTCCTTATTCCCTAAGGGGTTTCTTAAGTATTTACTTGCTTTAAAATGAAAACAAACGCTGATGATGTTTTTTAGAGTTTTCTCACATAAGTGGTGCTGTGTGTTTGGATTACAGACTCAAACTGTGCATGCAAAGACAAGGTTCTGTCTGAAACACTAGAGCAGAGAAGCCGAAGATCTTTTCTCCCTGGATCTCCTGTCTTCACCACACTTAATCTCCTCCCTTTCAGTAAAGATTTACTTATTTCAGTCTCATTTTTCTCTTTCTAATTTGGACCTAATTTTTTTCAAACCAGAAACGGGCTCTTCTTTGGCACTCACTATCCTGAGGTGTTTCAGAGACTGGGGCATCGACACTGAGAATGCTTGCTTTCATTTATCACTTCCTGTCAAGACCCTCCCCAAATCCAGAACCCCAGCCAACCGCCCTCATGGGCAAAACAGAAATGGTTCCATCTTTTGACCAAGAATGGTGGAAAATGGGCAAATGATCTGAACATGTTTCTCAAAAGAAAATACATAAATGGCAAACAAATAAATGAGAAAACACTCAGCAATATTCATCGCTGAAAAAACAGAAATGAAAACTATAATGAGATATCATCTACCCTTCAGTTAGAATGTCTGTTATTAAAAAGACACACACTTACACACAGACACAACTCAACACCAAAACAAACAAACAAATGTTGGTGAGGAAGTGGAGCAAGGTGAACTCGCCTACACTTCTGGTAGGAATATAAACTAGTACAGCCACCATGCAAAACAGTATGGGGGGTCCTCAAAACACTAGATAGGAATCCCACTGTCAGGCATATATTCATACTGCAACACCATTCACAGTAGCCAAGATATGCAATCAACCTAGGGGTCCACTGTTGGATGAACAGATGAAATGAGGTACATATACAGAATGCAGTATTATATAGGCATTGAAAAATGAAATCCTGTCATTTGTGGCAACATGGATGGAACTGCAGGATATTTTAAGTGAACTAAATGAGACAAATAAAGACAAAGACCCTATGTTCTCACTGGTATGTGGAAGCTAAAAAGGTTGATCTCAGAAACAGAGTAGAGCAGTGATTATCAGAAGCCAGGAAGGGGCTGGGAGGAACAGGATGCAGGTGTGACGGTGCAGTTAGATAGGAGAAGTGACTCCTGGTGTTCCACAGCACAACAGGGTGAACACAGCTGGTGTGATGGTGCAGTCAGACAGGAGAAGTGACTCCTGGTGTTCCACAGCACAACAGGGTGAACACAGCTGGTGTGATGGTGCAGTCAGACAGGAGAAGTGACTCCTGATGCTCCATAGCACAACAGGGTGAACACAGCTGGTGTGACGGTGCAGTCAGACAGGAGAAGTGACTCCTGATGCTCCACAGCACAACAGGGTGAACACAGCTGGTGTGACGGTGCAGTCAGACAGGAGAAGTGACTCCTGATGCTCCACAGCACAACAGGGTGAACACAGCTGGTGTGACGGTGCAGTCAGATAGGAGAAGTGACTCCTGATGCTCCATAGCACAACAGGGTGAACACAGCTGGTGTGACGGTGCAGTCAGACAGGAGAAGTGACTCCTGATGTTCTACAGCACAACAGGGTGAACACAGCTGGTGTGACGGTGCAGTCAGATAGGAGAAGTGACTCCTGATGCTTCATACCACAACAGGGTGAACACAGCTGGTGTGACGGTGCAGTCAGACAGGAGAAGTGACTCCTGATGTTCTACAGCACAACAGGGTGAACACAGCTGGTGTGACGGTGCAGTCAGACAGGAGAAGTGACTCCTGATGCTTCATACCACAACAGGGTGAACACAGCTGGTGTGACGGTGCAGTCAGATAGAAGTGACTCCTGATGCTCCATAGCACAACAGGGTGAACACAGCTGACACCCACTGTGCTTTTCAGAATAGTAGAAAGGATTTCAGGGGCTGGCGCCCTGGCTCACTTGGTTAATCCTCCGCCTGCGGCGCCGGCATCCCATATGGGCATGGGGTTCTAGTCTCAGTTGTCCCTCTTCCAGTCCAGCTCTCTGCGGTGGCCCGGGAGGACAGTGGAGGATGGCCCAAGTACTTGGGTCCCTACACCCGCATGGGAGACCAGGAGGAAGCACCTGGCTCCTGGCTTTGGATTGGCGCAGCACCGGCTGTAGCAGCCATTTGGGGAGTAAACCAACGGAAGGAAGATCTTTCTCTCTGTCTCTCTCTCACTGTCAAATAAATTTTTTAAAAAAATAGTAGAAAGGATTTCAAAGTTCTCAACACAAAGAAATGATGTTTGAGAGGATGGAAATGCCAATTACTCTGATTTGATTATTACACATTGTATATATGTATTGAAATATCACTTTCTATCCTAAAAATCAAGTATTTTACATTAATTAACATATATACAATATTTTAGAAGAAAAAAAAAAACAGGGAAAAACTGATGGCTGCCAGTAATGTGTGTACCAAGATAGCAATAATTACACTACACAGGCTTAGATGCCACGGCAGTAACATATAAACGTCACCAGCGCTCTCAATCCACCACACATCATTTATTCACAGATGGCAGGAACGTCTTACCCCATCTAGCACCTGCAGCTCTCTGGACAACTTTTCTGCAAAGGCCTCAGCATTCGAGATTGCATATTCACAGCCTTCCATCATTATCTCAATGTCCTGCTCTTCTCTTGCATTTAACTCCTGGTATTCATCTACTGCTTCTTCATCACCTCCTGTTACGCTCTGATTTTCTCCACTTGGAACAGATTCTTAAAGAGGGTAAAAATTCAAAATAAAATAGTCAAACAGTAGGAAAGATTATGACATAGCACTTGTACCTAGTTAAGATCAGTTATAAGCACAGGTCACATTTAATGGCTGAAAAATAGGAAAAAGTAATGCAAAATATATTAAAAAAAATCAGACCCTATGTTTACAAAGAGTTGCATGTTAATAAAATACTAAAAATAACAAATAAAAAGCATGCATTCTAATTCATTGACTTCTAAGTGTTAAAAAAGGCTTTAATTACAAGTTCCCAAAATATAAACTAAATTACAAAATAAAACATAAAAACATGCAGAAACAAACCTAACCTTTTTCTCCTACCTGAGGTGACTGTTGGTCTAACAGAACAATTAAAGCAAAATAATTTGCTTTCCTTTTTTTTCCTCAGGTAATGTCTTTTTTTTTTTTCTCTTTGTCTTTAGTTTATTTCATTTATTTTTCCAAACAACTTTTTAACTGAAATGAAACGTGCATCTACAATCCACAGTTTTGGACACTGGAAAACGATTACCTGGGGACCAGGTGGTTTGCTGAGTGGGTAAGACAGCCACTTCCCACATCAGAGTACCTGGGTTTGACACTCAGCTTTGCCTCCAGACTTTAGCTTCCTGCCAATGCCCAATGCAGACACTAGGAAGCAGTGGTGATGACTCAAGTAACTGGGTCCCTGCCACCCACATGGGAGACCTGGTATTCCCAGTTTCTGGCTCTGGCCCTGCCCCAGCCCTATCTACTGCAGGCACTTAAAGAGTAAACTAGCGGGGCTGGCGCTGTGGCGCAGCAGGTTAATGTCCTGGCCTGAAGCGCCAGCATCCCATATGGGCATCAGTTCGAGACCCAGCTGCTCCACTTCCAATCCAGCTCTCTACTGTGGCCTGGGAAAGCAGTAGAAGATGGCCCAAGTCCTTGGGCCCCTGCACCGCATGGGAGACCTGGAAGAAGCTCCTGGCTCCTGGCTTCGGATCAGCACAGCTCCGGCCGCTGCAGCCAATTGGGGAGTGAACCAGCAGATGGAAGACCTCTCTCTCTCTGCCTCTCCTCTCTGTATAATGTTGACTTTCAAATAAATAAATAAATCTTTAAAAAAAAAAAAAAGTAAACTAGCACTCAGGAGTGCTGTCTCTCTGTCTCTCTCTTTCAAATTCTCAATTTCTACAAAGAAAGTATTTCTAAAAAGAAAATAATTTCTAAAAAGAAAGTTATTTCCATTTCTTTGCTTGAAAAATTTCACACACACTGACAAAATTTCTATAAATGTGCTACTGCTCTCTCGATAACTCTAATGTAAGAGCAACAAAAACATGAATGTTTGAAATTACAAAAATTTAACAAAAGACCAAGAAGTTAAATCCAAAATGTTTTCTAGTTAAAATGTTTCAGTTCATTTTTTCGAGAGAACACACTTAGCATTTGGGCATTCTACACAAAGCCAGAGATTAGGGGAGGTACAATGAAAGAAATCACTTTTAATCCCTGCGAGGTTATTTTACCCCTCTAAAGTCATTGATTTTCACAGACTTAATGGGACATGACTTAAATCATACACTCTGAATGCTGTCAGTGTTCACTATGCTGTGTGACAATGAATACACACATTCTGCACGGCTATGTTCATCTGTCCCACAACAAAACAACTAACTAGAAGTAACAAAGGATTTACTTTAAAGAATAGTGACAAATTAGGGAGATTTAGATAGCATCTCAGAAAAAAAAAAGAAGAGGACTAAAACTTTTGGTACAGGCCATTACAAATTACAGTACGTAAAAGCAGGTGCCTCAGAGAGACTTTGCCAAACCTCACTGACATGTGTGGCTGTTCATTAGCCACCAAGGGGCAGGGACTTTACAAACCACTGTTCCTGTTCCTTATACAACCAGGCACTAAATTAATAAATCTTTTAAATGATCATAATAACTGCTTCAAAAATATTTTCTCCCCCATGAAACAGTTCATTGGAAGCCAAGAGCAAACATCATCATTAATGTTATTCTATATATACTTTCTAGTTATAAATTTGGCCCTGTACACAATTCCATAAAACATGTCATCACCAACAGTACATAACAACAGTAAGTAATAAAAACATTTGGAATAGAATAAGAAGAAAAGGTGTTACGCACCTTCTGTAACTTTAGGCAGTTCTGGAGAGTAAAAAGGTATGAAAAAAGCAGAGGAAAGTAAGCAAAGAATATTAGCTGGGTAGGAAAGTACACAGGCTTAAATTTTTAAATACTACCCATATGTCATCTGAGTTTCATGCTAAATCAAGGTTCAAAAGACAACATCAAAATCAACTACTAAGTGGAAAGATGCATAAGAAGCTAAAGTTCCAGAGCCTATCTTTCTTACTCATTTTCTGGTAGTAACTAAAATACATATTTCTGTATTTCTCTCAGTTTGTTTAAGAAATAGTGCTGACTAGTCCTTGGAGGAGAAAACTGGGAAACAGTTCATTTCCTGGGGTTTACTTCCAGGTCAGTTGTGACTCATGCATTTAGTGCAGTTATTTTCATTCAAGACCCAACATTTGACCCAGACACTCCCTCACAAAGGATTAGTCACAAAACACTGTTAGAAAGGACAACATTGATACAAGTGAAAAAATGCATATCAGTTTAAGTTGTCATTTAAGGATTCAAGTCCAAGATTTTTTCAGAACCTGGTTGCAAGCAAAGGAATAAAAAGGAAAAAGCCAAACCGAGACTTCCTTCTAGTTCAACTACTAACAAAGTCCTCTTTTAAAAATCATATTGTGCTGAAAAGTTCCAATTATTTAATGCAGACACTCAACTGTCATCATCAAAAACTACCAAAGTAAAGAAAAAAAAGAAAAAGAAAAAAAAAAACTACCAAAGTTACCACCGTGGCTAGAATAGTCTCTCCTCATTGAATGATTATTTAGCTCGTAAAGAAGGTAGTAATAATTTTAAAATTTGTTTTCTAATATTACCCAAAGCTTAGAGGCTTTTATTTTTAAAAAAATGAAATTTATGCCTGGGGTTTCTAGTCCCATTAAAACAAGTTTTTAGACATTAAAAATCTATTCCCTGAATTCCGGCCAGCGCCGCGGCTCACTAGGCTAATCCTCCGCCTGCGGCGCCGGAACCCAGGGTTCTAGTCCCGGTTGGGGCACCGGTTCTGTCGCCGTTGCTCCTCTTCCAGTCCAACTCTCTGCTGTGGCCCGGGAAGGCAGTAGAGGATGGCCCAAGTCTTTGGGTCCTGCACCCGCATGGGAGACCAGGAGGAAGCACCTGGCTCCTGGCTTCAGATTGGTGTAGCGCGCCGGCCGTAGTGGCCATTTGGGGGGTGAAACAACGGAAGGAGACCTTTCTCTCTCTCTCTCTCTCTCTGTCTAACTCTGCCTGTCAAAAAAAAAAAAAAAAATCTATTCCCTGAATTCAGCTAAATCAAAGCAAGAGTACTGGTCTATTATAGAAAGTGATTTTCAAATTGACATTCTTAAGGATTTCTCAGTATTTTTTTTTAATTTTTTTTTTTTAATTTTTTGACAGGCAGAGTGGACAGTGAGAGAGAGAGACAGAGAGAAAGGTCTTCCTTTTGCCGTTGGTTCACCCTCCAATGGCCGCCACGGCCAGCCCGCTGGCTGATCCGAAGGCAGGAGCCAGGTGCTTCTTCTGGTCTCCCATGTGGGTGCAGGGCCCAAGCACTTGGGCCATCCTCCACTGCACTCCTGGGCCACAGCAGAGAACTGGCCTGGAAGAGGGGCAACTGGGACAGAATCTGGCGCCCCGACTGGGACTAGAACCCGGTGTGCCGGCCCCGCAAGGAAAAGGATTAGCCTAGGGAGCCGCCGGGGCCGGCCCTCCCAGTTTTTCTTAAAAAAGGGGCCCCGGCTTTAATGTTTTATAAATATGAAATGTCTACACTTTTTATTCAAAAGGTTAAAAAAATTAAAAAACCTTTTTTTAAAAAAGTTACCTAATTTTCATTCCTGAAAAAAAAGGCAAAACATTTTGTTGGTTGCAAAATTTTTGATAATTTTTTCTTTAAGAAAGAAAATCCCCTATGGGGGTTGTCCCTAATGGAAAAAAGCCTGGGCCAAAAAAACATCTTAGGAAATAAATAACAACTGGAAATCTGTAACACTGGAAAAACAAGCAGCAAGCTTGTGAATCATTGACACATCAAAATGTTCAACCCTGAAATGGTAAAAAAATAAAAATCATCCAAAATAAAGTAAGCCACAAATTAAAGCATGAAAAATTACCATATATTTCTTGAAGGTCCTTCTTCAACAAACTCCATTGCCAAGACACTGGAGACTAAAGGTGACGTAAGCCCAGCAGTGCTCTCCCCAGGAGGGGCAGCCCCGGGTCTGACAGATGTGTCTTGTCTCTGCCTGTCCCTAGCATCCAGACTAAAACCAGCGGCACACTCACTACATAACAGGTGCTGGGAGGCTGGCACCGCGGCTCACTAGGCTAATCCTCCGCCTGCGGCGCCGGCACACCGGGTTCTAGTCCCGGTCGGAGCACCGGATTCTGTCCCAGTTGCTCCTCTTCCAGTCCAGCTCTCTGCTATGGCCTGGGAAGGCGACTGGAGGGTGAACCAACAGAAAAGGAAGACCTTTCTCTCTGTCTCTCTCCCTCACTGTCCACTCTGCCTGTCAAAAAAAAAAAAACAGGTGCTGGGGAAAAATACTGCATTCAAGGAGAGAAAGGTCCATAGCCAAACAGGAAAAGGGAATGAGTAAAACAAGCTAGAGAAGAGACAGGAGCCAGTGACTAAATAAACAGCTTGGAGCATTTGAAACTACCATTTTTTATGTCTAAAATGGTTGAATTTTGGCAATTTCAGATGCTTCAACCTGAAAGAATAGAAGCTTCTACTGTTAAATGCCAACATACAACTTAGGAAAGATCCAGGGCAAATGTAAGTTCTTTTCTCAACAAAGAGGAGTAACGTGGTTTTGTTCAATTGCATACTAGCTATTATTTCAACTGCTTTCTTTGAGATAAAGAAAACCATATACATTGCCCTCACAAGGCAATAGAGAACCATTTCCTTACAATGGGAAAGAATTTTAAAAGTAATTTAAAAGGATAAAATGCAAGAAAATTCAAAAGTATAAAATCTCACTGTATATTTTCAATAATTAACGAATTTTGTCTGACAACACAAAATAATCCATAGTAACATCAATCTCATGCCTGAGGGTTTCATCTTGATTACAGTTAGGAAGAGCTAGTATTTCGGGAGCACTGACAGTACCCAGCACTGCTCTCATCTCACTCATGCAACAAGTAATTTAATCCTCACACAACCCATGAGGTAGATACTTTTCACCCTATATCTGAAGGGAAACTGAAACATAAAAATTAAGTACCTACCCAGGGTCACACAGTGACCGCCTGCCTCCTGAGTCTTGGTCTAAACCACCATTGCCACACTCTGCACAAAAATACTGCTATAAGGAGGGTCATTACAGAGCTGCTTAAAATAAGACTGGAAAACTAAAAATAAATGATCAAATAAATTATGGTCTCTCCATATGACAGAATACTATGGTGCTACTAAAAACAATGTTGGAGTAAGTATTTAATAACACAAAAAATGTTCATGATATATTATTTGAAAAACTATGTTAGGAGACAGAATGTAGATGTCTTCATTTAAAAAAATTTGAATATGTATCATAAACAGACTAGAAGAATATTTAACAAAATGTTAACAGCAGTTATCTCTGAGGAATAAGCTTATAATAATTTAATGTATCAATATTCTGCAATAAACAAGCATTTCTGCAAGAAGAAAAATTATTTTAAAATTCTTTTGCAATACAATGTAATTTAGTATTCTACTTTGAGTAAGGTCAAATTACATATTCACTTAAATAAATAGTCATTTTACATGTACATTTTTTATTTAACTTTACCTTCCAAAAGCTGTGAACTAACATTGACAAAATCAATTTTCTTCCGGAGATATCGCTGATTCAACTTCCAAATGCATGAAATGAATGCGTTCTTTTCAGCAGTGCTGCTGGCAACCCATTTGTATATTTTTTCAAAATGTAAATCAAATTCAGGATTCTCCTGAGATAAAAATATACACAAGATATTATGTTCGATCATATCCTTTTGAATGACTAATATAAAATCATTATTTTAAAAAGTGCACTGAAGTTGTTCTTGAAAGACAAAAATAACATTAAAAACCAGCTTAGTGACCCGAGGAGAAGGAAAGGTTCAGAGAACTCAATTCATAGCGAAAGCTTGTGCTTCACAGGCGTCCTTTTCTCTCCACGCTCTCTTCGTCCATGAGGAGGTCCAGGGAATGGCGTGGTGGTTCCACACCCTCACTCGTCAGATGACAACAGCATCGAGTTTTGACATGGACCTCACTTTTCTTTTGAAAATGCCTATAGAGTTTGGAGTAATATTTTCTTTGATAATGCACTATTACTATTTATAACTGTGATTTGACATTAACTCTTTGATAAAAAGTGTACTTTTAGGGCTGGTGTTGTGGCGCAGCGGGTAAAGCTGCAGCCTGTGATACCAGCATCCCCTGTGGGCTCTGGTTCACTTCCCAGCTGTACCATTTCTGATCCAGCTCCCTGTTAATGGCCTGGGAAAGCAGTGGAAGACGGCCCAACTGCTTCAGCCCCTGCTGCCCACTTGGGAAACTTGGAGGAAGCGCCTGGTTTCTGGCTTCAGCCTGGCCCAGTCCTGGCTGCTGCGGCCATCTAGAGAGTGAACCAGCAGATGGCAGATCTCTTTCTTTCTCTGTAACTCTTTCAAAAAAAAAAAAATCTAAAAAAAATAAATAAATAAAGAAATATACCTTCTAATCATAGTTTATGGAAAAAATTATAACCTATCCTCTGGTATACTTCTTTCCAAGAGCAAACAAAGTGAAAAACAGGACTGCTCCTAATTGTTTTCTATTTTGAAAACAGAGGGTGATTACAGGTGTCTTAAAAGCCAAAAGCGTAGGTGGGCCTTGAAGTTCTTTCAAGTGCCGAAGAAGCTCAATCCTTCTGAGAGAATGACACTATGCTTGCTGACTGTCTCCTACTGTTACAGCAGTACTTTCACCCTAGCCTACTACTGTATCTCTTTCTTGAGTGTAAAATGCCTTGACTATAAAAACAAAAACACGTGGAAATATAGTTTCTTCACACCCAAGGAATGAGAAAATAGGTTCCGATGTTCTTACTGCTCTGTGGAACAGAAGGATAATAATATATTTCATTCATGTAACACATCATTTAGGACCAACAAAGTAAATACAGACCTTAACCTCAAGGGAAGGAACCTTCCCTCAAGGGAAGTTAAAGCAGACTTTTACTGTGAAGACTTGGGACATTTCAGGGATCAGAACTTGACCTTTGGGACAACAAGCATACTCACAGTAGCATGGAATGACTAATTAATTCAATTTACTGTTCAATACACAGAAAGTGTCAAAAAGTTTTAAAAAACACACAAAAGTGGCATTTACAATGAAAAAGTAATTGCATTATCACTTATTAAAAAAACAAACCCGAAGACTATTGGCAGCTAATATGAGACCTGATGGGAAGCAATCTCTTCCCTGGGACTAGTTCCCAAACACCATAAAAGACACTGAGTGCTCCCGCGGCAACACTCACGCAAATCAATGTGCGGCGCTAAATGGCTAATGTCAGGCTATGCATAAAAATTTTATGTTTTATATCCATATAGAGTGAACACACATCAAGGTGCCTACATAAAATGAAAAAATCCATTAAGCAAGGCAGCAGTGCGGCATCAACTGTGAGAAGGCATTCAAATAAGCAGTCAGCAATGTTAGTGAATTATGCAAGCCAACAGAGTTAGCCAGTGCAGCAGCACTGAAGGGAAGGCTTTTTTAATAAAGGTAGATTTCTAAAAAGCCCTTGAAGTGTTTTCTTTTAAACACATCTCTCTTCTCTTGATTCCTTTGCATGGTAACAGAAATCATTTATTGAAGTGCTTTTTAAAACTCTCCTTCTAATTTTTTTTTCCAAATACACACTCTCGCTCAGAGCATCTTTGGAAACCTATTTCCACATTCCGCATTTTTCTAAACGTTGAGTGCTTCGTAGGGAGGAAGCACAGGCTCAGTCTGCCTGAAAGACTTAAAGAAATGATATTATCGATATTTGGCAGACACTGGAGGTGTCCAGATATGCAGGATTCTCCTGAAACTGTCCTCCTGCTTTTTTTTTTTTTTCAGGCCTGACAAGACAACCTGTCATTTTGCCCAGCTTTGTGGTTCAGAGGTTGGTACCAAGGAATAGGTAAAACCAGAATCTGACTTTATCTGATTGCTTTACAATGGAAGTTTTTGTTGTTGTTGTTTACTTCTGTGAGCCTTTAGTGAATGTGGGAGACTCGCAGAGATGACCAAAGTGGACGCACAAAACATCAGTGTAAGTCTTGCCGTCAGCTCGACCACGAGTGTGAGTGGATGCGGCACAAAGTATCTCCCAGCGCTCTGGAGGTGCCTTGGGCTGCAGAGGAAGATGAGGGTGGGCTCAGAGAGGATGAAGAGGAAGCACAGGGGCTCTGCCTGATTTCTTGGAAAAAGGGTCTCGCTATGAAAAATGCTGAACTGCCAGGAATACATGTGGTCCTTCAATGTGATTATCATATTATTCAGCTGTCTTGGAGCTTCAGAAGGGTTTAAGTATTAGGTGGAAGATGTATATTCTTATAAATCTTATCTTTAAATTCCTTACAAGAAGCCATGTAACTCACTATTACCTCCTTTACTGAGCCACAAACATCAAAGCTGGACCTCGGAAGGCCAGTTTGGCTGCCTCAACAGGATCCTATGCAACTCATGAGGACTAACAGAAGATTCACGTGGTTACACCACACTCAGATCTGTTTCTGAACCAGGTTTTACCAAAACACAAAAAATTCTAAAATATCAACTCACAGGGGCCGGTGCTGTGGCATAGCGGATAAAGCCGCCACCTGCAGTGCTGGCATCCCGTATGGGCACCGGTTCAAGACTCAGTTGCTCCACTTCCATTCCAGCTCTCTGCTATGGCCTGGGAAAGCAGCAGAAGACGGCCCAAGTCCTTGGGCCCCTGCACCCACATGGGAGACCCAGAAGAAGCTCCTGGCTCCTGGCTTTGGATTGGCACAGCCCTGGCCGTTGCAGCCAACTGGGGAGTGAACCAGTGGATGGAAGACCTCTCTTTCTCCCTCTCTCTCTCTCTGACTGGCCTTTTCTCTCTGTGTAATTCTGACTTTCAAATAAATAAATAAATCTTTAAAAAAAATCAATTCACATGACGTACTACATTAAAATCCATAGAAACGTATGGATTTTATACTGAGGACACTTAAACACAGATAGGTATAGAGTCAAGTTCATTTTGCTCTAGTTTATGGAGCTTTCCTACAAACGTAATTAGAACTTAAAACAAGAAAAAAAACAATGAAGCATACATGTGTACTTATTTTTAGTGGCCAACGATTGGAGGGTGAGGGGTGTGGGAGGTTGAATAGTATGTTTTAGACTAATTCTTGGTTAGCAGTCACAAAACAAATTTAGATCATCCCAGAAGAGGCGATACTATATTATAAAATGAAGTACAGTTTCTGAACACAGGACAAACAACTAAGAAAAACATACTTTGACGGCATCTTTGGCATCCACCACAGCAAGGTCTCGAAGGGCCCAGGCAATCTGCCTTTTGTAGAAATCTCCCTTATCCGATTTCTTCACTTTGACCACCTTCACCTGCACAGGGCGCTCTGTTGTCACTGGTGAGGAAAACACACACCTTCATCAGAAATATTGGTCACGCACTCGTCAGTCCCTCTGTGCAAGTATGGCTTTCAGGACCGATATGTGGTGCCAGCACAGGTGTTTTATAACAAGGGCAGACTCCTCATGGAAGCATCTATACAGTCAGAGACAGAGTCCTTGGGAAGCAAGGTTTTAAAGGGAAGAGTATGTGGTAAAATCTGATGAATGACTGACACATGTAAAGCCAGGGAGCCTTGAAAAAGCATACTATTTCAAACAACAGTAATAGCTCCATATAGATACTTCAAATAATAAGGTGGACAGAAATGACGCTCAGATGGGTTCAGATCGTAACGGGAAGTGGCATGCTCTAATTTCTAGTTTAAAAACAACTATGCTAAGGGCAGGCATTTGACATAGCAGTTAAGACACCTCTCAGGATGCCCACATCCCATCTCAGACGCCTGGGTTCTCGAGTCCCGGCTCTGCTCCCAAGTCCAGCTTCCTGCTAACAGGCACCCTGCAGGCAGCAGCAGTCGGGTCCCTGCCACCTGTGAGGGGGACCTGGACTGAGTTCCCAGCTGCTGGCTCAGCCCCAGCTATTGCCTGCATTTGGGGAATGAAGCAGTAGGCAAGAGATTTGTCTCTGTCTTTCAAATAAAGAAAAAATTTCAAAATTTCTCTAGCAGTTGAATGGAAAATGGATTGGAATAATGCCAACACATTTCAAAACTAAGTCATTTTCCCTTAAAAAAAAATCCAAAAAATTCCCTAAAAAATGCGACTTACCAAAACTGACTCGAGTAGAAAAAATGGACAGTTCTATAACTATTACAGACATTGCATTGGTAAGTAAAAATCTTCCCTCTCTCACCAGAAAAACTAGTCCAACCCAGCTCTGCAGGTATCTTTTGCAAAACTTTCAAGAAATGAATAATTCCAAACACACAACTATTCCAGGGTACAGAGAATGATAGAATGTTCTTTGATTCACTTTATAACTGGTTATAAAGCTAAAAAAGATAATGTGATAAAGAAAATTAAAGGACCATGAATCTAGTAAATATGGATGCAAAATCACCAAATACTGTATTGGCAAACCAAAGGTACATACAAAAGGTAATACTTCATTTCATCTAAGATGTCCTTTCTTTTAAAAATCTCTGAAATCAGGCCGGCGCCGCGGCTCACTAGGCTAATCCTCCGCCTTGCGGCGCCAGAACACCAGGTTCTAGTCCTGGTCGGGGCGCCGGATTCTGTCCCGGTTGCCCCTCTTCCAGGCCAGCTCTCTGCTCTGGCCCGGGAGTGCAGTGGAGGATGGCCCAAGTGCTTGGGCCCTGCACCCCATGGGAGACCAGGAGAAGCACCTGGCTCCTTCCTTCGGATCAGCGCGGTGCACTGGCTGCAGCGCGCCGGCCGCAGCAGCCATTGGAGTGAACCAACGGCAAAGGAAGACCTTTCTCTCTCTCTCTCTCACTGTCTACTCTCCTTGTCAAAAAAAATATTTCAACAAATTGATACTTACCTATTTCCGCCAGCCCCCCTGGTGGACTGTGAGGAACCTATTAGTGCTCCGCAAGGAGTTTAAACCACACAGGAAGGGAAGAATTTAAAAATGTGAAAGGCAAAATTCTAAAATTTTTTTCAATTTTTATTTTTGACAGGCAGAATCAACAGTGAGAGAGAGAGACAGAGAGAAAGGTCTTCCTTTGCCGTTGGTTCACCCCACAATGGCCACAACGGCCGGCGCGCTGCGGACGGCGCACCGAGCTGACCCGAAGTCAGGAGCCAGGTGCTTCTCCTGGTCTCCCATGGGGTGCAGGGCCCAAGCACTTGGGCCATCCTCCACTGCACTCCCAGGCCACAGCAGAGAGCTGGCCTGGAAGAAGGGCAACCGGGACAGAATCCGGCGCCCCGACCAGGACTAGAACCTGGTGTGCCGGCGCTGCAGGTGGAGGATTAGCCTATTGAGCCGCGGTGCCAGCCATAAAATTTTTAGAACATAGGAGAATATTTTTAACTACTTAAAAGATATCTGTAAAAAGCAAAAAGAGAAAACTAGGAACTAGTATCTATTTATTAAAATTACATGTTTCACTAAAAGACATCATATACAAAATGAAAAGACCAAGAAAAACTGCAATGCACATAAACCAATAAAAGATGATTACCTACATGATATAAAGAATTTGTACAGCTCAGTAAAAACACAGTCAACATGACAGAAAAATGAGCAAAAGGTAAATTTCAGACAAGAAAACTAAATGCTTAATAAATTAATGAAAGGACATCCAATATCATTGTTAAAAATACATTTTTATTTTATTTTTAAAGATTTATTTATATATTTGAAAGTCAGAGTTACACAGAGAGAGAAGGAGAGGCAGAGGCAGAGAGAGAGAGGTCTTCCATCCACTGGTTCACTCCCCAATTGGCTGTAACGGCCAGAGCTGTGCTGATCCAAAGCCAGGAGCTTCTTCCAGGTCTCCTACACCAGTGCAGGGACCCAAGGACTTGGGCCATCCTCCACTGCTTTCCCAGGCCACAGCAGAGAGCTGGATCGGAAGTGGAGCAGCCAAGAGTTGAACCAGTGCCCATATGGGATGCCAGCACTACAGGTGGTGGCTTTACCCACTTCACCACAGCACCTGCCCCTACAATTTTAAATTACAATGAGATACTATTTCACCCCCTTCAAAGGGGCAATAATTAAGTAATTATCTAATAAAACCAAGTATTGACTGGGATGTAGAGAACCAAAAACATACACAGTTTGTGGGAGTGAAAACTAGAAAAGAGTCTGGCTTAGAGCAGCACTGATCATTCACGGATCTGCGACATGGAGAATTCCACAGCTAAGGCTCCACCCTAGAGAATTCCCGCCTGTAGCTGCTGGAAGATGGAGACAAACATGTTCACAGAAGTTCTGTCTGAACAGCAAAACCTGGGAACAAAGCTCATCGCCAGTGACCTGGGGTCCACTCAGACAGTAGACTCCTACATGGCAGTGACTATGAAAGAATTCCAGCTGAGTGAAAGAAGAAAAATAACACTTAAATACCTGAACATATGGGGCCGGCATTGTGGCACAGTGGAGTAGGCTGCCACCTGTGACACCAGCATCCCATATGAGCACCGTGTAGTGTCCCAGCTGCTCCACTCCCGATCCCAGCTCCCTGCTAATGTCCCTGGGAAAGCAGTGGAAGATGGTCCAAGTCCTTGGGCCCTGCCACCCCCATGGGAGACCAGGATGGAGTTTCAGGCTCCTGGCTTCAGCTGTTGTGGCCATTATGGAATGAACCAGCAGATGAGATCTCTCTCTCTCCATCTCTCTGTAACTCTGCTTTTCAAACAAATTTTAAAAAGAGAAGGAAGAGGGCAGCACTGTGGTGTAACAGGTTAAGCCTCCGCCTGTGATGATGCTGGCATCCCTTATGGGTGCCGGTTCGAGTCCCGGCTGCTTCACTTCCAATCCAGCTGCCTTCTAATATGCCTGGAAAAGCAGCAGAAGATGGCCCAAGTCCTTGGGCCCCTGCACCCACATGGGAGACTGGATGAAGCTCCTGGTTTCAGCTTGGCCCAGGGCTGACTGTTGTGGCCATTTGGGGAGTGAACCAATGAATGGATGCTCTATCTCTCCCTCCCTTTCTCTGTAAGTCTACTTTTCAAATAAAATAAAATAAATCTTTTTAAATTTATTTTTATTTTTTTGACAGGCAGAGTGGACAGTGAGAGAGAGAGAGAGAGAGAAAGGTATTCTTTTGCCGTTGGTTCACCCCACAATGGTCACTGTGGCCGGCGGGCTGCGGCCGGCGCACGATGCTGATCCGAAGTCAGGAGCCAGGTGCTTCTCCTGGTCTCCCATGGGGTGCAGGGCCCAAGCACTTGGGCCATCCTCCACTGCACTCCCGGGCCACAGCAGAGAGCTGGCCTGGAAGAGGGGCAACCGGGACAGAATTCGGCGCCCCAACCGGGACTAGAACCTGGTGTGCTGGCGCTGCAGGCAGAGGATTAGCCTACTGAGCCGTGGCGCCGGCCTAAAATAAATCTTAAAAAGATAAAAGACCATGAACAGAATGTCAAAATGTTAAGTGGGAAAAGTCACAAATACATGTCCTGTGATTCAACTTATAGTTTTAAAAGAATTCCAATCAAAATCTCCCCACAATCTGGAAGCAAAGCTCAAAGACATGCAAAAACTAACTACATTGTTTTAAATTACAAATATACATCGTAATATGACAAAGAAATGGTAAATCAAAATTCAGATACCAGTTATTTCCTAATGGGGGAGAGAAAGGAATTGGACCCAGGAGGACACAAAGGAGACTTCACAGGTACAGGCACAGCCTTCTTACGCTGAGGGTTGAGTACACAGTGTTCACTACAGTGAGTCTTTACACCTTACGTATATGTTACAGAAATTCTTCTATAGCTACTCAATATTTAACAAGACAATTAAAAATTAATTCATCAGCTCAACCATCGTTCCAATTATAGAGACAAGGAGAATATTTCATACAGGAAGAAATGTCCCTGAGGAATAAAAGAATGACAGACAAGTATCAACACCCACCTGTAGCACACAAAAAGCAGTTCTTTTTCTTTTTCCCTGCTTTGCAGACATTCACAATGCTCAGCAGACGTTCATCATTTGGTGTAAAGATGTCTCTTTGTAATGCATGCTTGATTGCTGTCATTTTCTCTTAGCTGAAAAAATTCAGAGCATATTTAGCCTATTCTAAAAAATCATCCCTTCTCATACTGTACCATTTATGATTAAAAATGATCTTATGTTTTGGTTCATAAGCATAGAAAAAATTATTTAACACATCAATACACCTTCATGATAACAATATAAAGCCATAAGTTTAAAAATGAAATTAGACAACTAGTGTTATAAAACTCTAAAATGTTTGATCACCAAGCATCTTCTCTCAGAAGTAATCAACAGGCCGGCGCCGCGGCTCACTAGGCTAATCCTCCGCCTAGCGGCGCCGGCACACCGGGTTCTAGTCCCGGTCAGGGCGCCGGATTCTGTCCCGGTTGCCCCTCTTCCAGGCCAGCTCTCTGCTGTGGCCAGGGAGTGCAGTGGAGGATGGCCCAGGTGCTTGGGCCCTGCATCCCATGGGAGACCAGGAGAAGCACCTGGCTCCTGGCTCCTGCCATCGGATCGGCGCGGTGCGCCGGCCGCAGCGCGCCGGCCGCGGCGGCCATTGGAGGGTGACCCAACGGCAAAGGAAGACCTTTCTCTCTGTCTCTCTCTCTCACTGTCCACTCTGCCTGTCAAAAAAAAAAAAAAGAAGTAATCAACAAATATTTTCTCTCTGTCTCACACACACACAGATTTAAAGAAAACAACCCATGCTCAATCTTTAACTATAGTTTGTTATGTAAAGAACTCTTATAACTCAGCAATAAAAAGACAACCCAATTAAAAACTGAATAAAATAGACATTCCTTCAAAGCAGACACACAAATGGCCAGTAAGCATATGAAAAGATGTTCAAGGTCATCAGACACTAGGGAAATGTGAGTCAAAAATACCTACAGGGCAGGTGTTTGGGATAGTGTTTAAACCACTGGTCAGGACACTGGAGTACCTGGGTTTAAGGCCTGGCTCTGACTTTGACTCTGGCTTCCTGCCTATGCAGACCTTGTAAGGCAATGGTGATGGCTCAAGGAATTGGGTTCCTGCCATACACCTGGGAAACCTGGATGGTGCTCCTGGCTTCGCCCCCCTGTATCCTCCTACCCCCAAGTCATTGCAGGGATCTGGAGAGTGAACCAGATGGGTGTATTCTTTCTGCCTGTCTCTCAAAATAAAGAAAGAAAGAGCACCTAGGGGCTGGCGCTGTGGCATACTGGGTAAAGCCACCGCCTGTAGTGCTGGCATCCCACGTGGGCGTCGGTTCAAGTCCCGGCTGCTCCACTTCTGATCCAGCTCTCTGTTATGGCCTGGGAAAGCAGTAGAGGATGGCCCAAGCCCTTGGGTCCCTGCACCTGTGTGGGAGACGAGGAGGAAGCTCTTGGCTCCTAGCTTCAGATTGGCGCAGCTCCAGCCATTGTGGCCAATTGGGGAATGAACCAGCAGATGGAAGACCTCTCTCTCTCTCTGCCTCTCCTTATCTCTCTGTGCAACTCTGACTTTCAAATAAATAAATAAATCTTAAAAAAAATAATAATAGTGACTTGAGCAGCCCTTGTCCTGACTGTTAATGTACAATTTAATACTTTATCCCTTTTAGTATTTTTTTTTGTTCTAGTTAATACTGTTGGTTGAACTCTGTAATTAACACACAACTATTCTTAGGTGTTTAAATTTTAACTGAAAAGTGATCCCTGTTAAATATAAGAGTGGGAATAGAGGGAGGAGATGTACAATTTGGGACATGCTCAATCAGACTTGCCCCAAATGGTGGAGTTAGAAATGTGCCAGGGGATTCCAATACAATCCCATCAAGGTGGCATGTACCAATGCCATCTCACTAGTCCAAGTGATCAATTTCAGTTCACAGTTGATCACACCGATAGGTCTAAGAGTCAAAGGGATCACATAAACAAGACTAGTGTCTGCTAATACTAACTGATAGAATAAAGAAGGGAGAGAACAATCTAATATGGGAAGCAGGATACACAGCAGACTCATAGAATGGCAGATGTCCTCAACAGCACTCTGGCCTCAGAATCAGCCCTTAAGGCATTCGGATCTGGCTGAAGAGCCTGTGAGAGTATTTTAGGCATGGAAAGCCAAGACACTTTGGGAAAAAAAAAAAAAATTAAATGAAAGATCTCTGCAAGTGAGATCCCAGTAGAAAGAACAGGGCCATCAAAGAAGGAGGTACCTTTCTCTGAAGGGAGGAGAGAACTTCCACTTTGACTATGACCTTGTCTGAATAAGATCGAAGTCGGCTAACTCAAAAGGCTTCCATAGCCTTGGCAACTCATGACTAGAGCCTAGGGAGATTACTGACGCCATAAACAAGAGTGTCAAATTGTTAAGTCAACAACAGGAGTCACTGTGTACTTACTCCTCATGTAGGATCTCTGTCCTTAATGTATTGTCCAATGTGAATTAATGCTATAACTAGTACTGAAACAGTATTTTACAATTTGTGTTTCTGTGTGGGTGCAAACTGATGAAATCTTTACTTAATATATACTAAATCGATCCTCTGTATATAAAGATAATTGAAAATGAATCTTGATGTGAATGGAATGGGAGAGGGAGTGGGAGATGGGAGGGGTGCGAGTGGGAGGGAAGTTATGGGGGAGAAGCCATTATAATACATAAACTGTACTTTGGAAATTTATATTTACTAAATAAAAGTTAAAAAAATAATAATAAAGAGCATCTACCTACCTACCACCACACACCTAGCAGGATGATCTCAATCAAAAGGACAGACAATAGCTAGTGTTGGTGGAGATGTGGAAAAATGGAACTACATCGATCAGTACTCAAGTCCCTCAAATAAAATGACACAGACTTTATTTGCATATAATCTATACACTTTAAATTGTCTCTAGGGAAAAAAAATATATATACACACATACATACATACATATATGACTTACTTATTTACCTGAAAAGCAGAGTAACAGAGAGAGAGCTTTTCCATCTACTGTTTCACTCCCCAAACAGCCACAACAGCCAGGTCTGGGTCAGGCAGAAGTCAGGAGGAGGAACTCTGGATTCCTGTCTGGGTGGTAATGCCCAAGCACGGCTGCCTTCCCAGGTGTGTAACCAAGAAGCTGGATTGGAAGTGAAGCAGCCAGGACTTGAATCAGCACTCCAATATGGAATTCCACTGTGGCAAGTGATGGCCAAACCCTCTGTGCTGCAACACTGGCCCCTACTAGATTACTTATAATACCCAACACAATGTAAATGCTATGTAAATAGCTGTTATACTCTGTTGTTCAGGGGAAAATGTTTTAAAAAAAGTCTGTAAACCTTCAGTACAGATGCGCTATTTTTTTCCAAATATTTTTAATCTGTGGATGGTTAGATCAGCAGATGTGGAACCTATGGATTCCAAGAGCCAACTGCATCTGCAATAATCAACACATGGAAACAATTCAAATGTCCATCAGCCAATAAACAGGTGAGTGAAATATGTTGTATTCATACCATGGATGATTTGGCTGTAAAAAGGAATGAAGTGCTGATATATGCTGACATTCATGGATCTTGAAAACATTATGGTAAGTGAAAGAAGCCAAACACAAAAGACTACATAATGCATGACTCCAACCGTAGGCAATGTCCAGACTGGGAAAACTGATAGCAAGAGTAGTGACTGTGGGGGCTAGAGAAGAAGGCAGAATGCAGGACTGCCTGTTAATGGGTATGGTGTTGCTTTCCGGGTGATAAGATGTCCTTGAATTAGACAGCAGTGATCGTTCAAAGAGTACAATCTTGTGAATACACTAAAGGACACAGAATTATATATTTGAAAAGGCTGAATTTTATGATATGCAAATTATCTCAATAAAGCTGTAACAAAAGTAGGCTGCCACTTATTTCCCTTTTCTCACATAAATCGGTGTCTTTTTCAAATGTCAATTTAAACTATTTTTTAAAAACGTCTCAATTTCATTTTTCAAGCATAAGGGACATGTTTGTATAGCTATATATCAGTATTTTCCAATGCAAATGTGAGCTTGCCTCGGACATTAATTTCTGCTAGTAACACCATTTTTTATGGGAAAATGAAGAAACTGTGAGTTTTATATATACGATTTATAACGCCTTTTTATAACACGACCCCAGAATGCCATCTTTGCATTTCCGTTCCTCTTTCAGCTCATCTCAGCCTCAGGTCTCCTCACTCTCCCTCCCTCCCTCCCTCCCGTTATTCTTGTCTATCTGGCCCCCAAGCCAGGCTACAGGCAATGTTCATCTCCCAGTACCCACACTATCCTCTTTCTTATTTTACCCTCTTGGTAGACTGGCTATCCTATTTTATCAAGAAACCTTGAAAAACCTACATGTTTTTCCTCTACTTCTCTTGAGCTATAAGATTCTATGTTTCAAAGCCATATACCCACGTGCATTGCATTCGTTTCTAACAGATCCAGCTAAAACTGGACTTTGAAGGCAGCTCAGCAATTCTTTAATACTTTTATTGCATCACTACTGTTTACAAATCCTTATTATCGTCTTTCAGCCTGCAACCGTACTGTCGGCCTCCTCCCTCTCTGCATAGGACTTCACTGCCTACTCTGCAGAAAAGAGAAGCCACGAGGTACAATTCTCCCCAATTCTTCCTCTTCCATCTCTCTAACCATTCACCCATCCCACTCAAAACGCAGCATCCATGCTGCCGATCCCTTCGTACATTCCAAGGCCTAGACACTGTTAAAGGGGCTACTCCACTCTCCGCCCCGGTCTACTTTTCTATCTCTGGGCTTCCGTTCACGCAATTTCCTTTTCCTGGAATTCTTCTCTCCCCGAGAGATTGCAACTCACTCCTCAGGATCCTGCTAGAGTGTCACCTCTTCCGCGAAGCAGTGTTTCCCGAAGCATACTTCCCTTTCTAGGTCTCCAACATCCCCCCACCCTGCACACAGCGCGCTTCGGATCGTCTTTTCTGACTGCTGGTATCAGCCTCTCCCATCAGAAACAGTTTCTGGTTGGCAAGGACCGTTTCTCATTCACCTTTGTATTCCTAGAACTTTTGGCAAAAGGCACCCAGCAGGCATTTAATAACTAACACGAGAGCACCAAATAACCAGCAGCTTTAGCTTCCTCAAGACCCCCCCCCCCCCGCCTTCGTTCAGCAAATGTCGGGTTCAGAACGTCCTGAGTCCTTCCTCCATGGTCAACAAGAAACCTGCTGCCACATTCTGGGGCTTCCCCCCATCTACAGGTACATTCCTTCCTTTATGTCCCCGCCATGCACACAGGAACCCAGGCCCACACCCACTTCTACCTGTTCAACAGCACAGCATCTGGGTATCTCTTTGCAAGCACCCACAACCCTGAATAACAACCATATAACTGGGGGGGGGGGGGTAGATCTCATCACACCACACCCTTGTTCAGCATTTTCCTAATACAAAGCATCCACTTGGAAGCACTCTGTTCATTTTGGGCTCTAAACCTCTGCTTCGGCACTTCCCCATGCGGGAAACATCATCTCCTCCCTACCCAAACCCTAACACCACCACACGGTTTACATGACGCTCATTCAACGATGATTTGAATCCGGACTCATCTCGCCGTGCACCTGCTGCACGGACTAAACCACTGAGCATTGGCGGGGATCAGCAGCTCCCGGCTCTCCAACCCTCTTAGAGAGAGACACGCTCAACTAGATGTGAGTACTAAGCAGGTACTTAACACCTCTCGAGGGAACCTGAAGAGGAAAAACCGGTCCAAAGAACCACTCACAGCGGCCAAAGTCACTCTCCCGGCAACAGCTAGGGCTGAGCACCGGGCACATGAGGCGGCTGGGCATCACTCGGCACTTACTGATGCCTACGCAGGGCCAGGCTGTTCTGGGCCCCAGCGGCGGCTCCGTCACGCAGGTGCGCGCTCAGGGGGCCAGTCCTTGGAGCGCTTTTCTGTAAGCCACTCAACAACAGGTCCGCCCTGTCCCGGCCCGGGGACCCGCGGCTGCTACGCTCCAGAGGCAGCCCGCCACTGCCTAACTGCGTGTCGCTCTTGTTTTTAAAACCCGCTGGGACCCCCTCGGCGCGCTGGCCGACAGCCGGTGACCCTAAAGGCGCGTGTGGGTTGGGACGTTTCGGGCACGGAGCACTGTCATCCACAGGAGACCGTGCACGGAAACAGGGGAATGCATTTAACAGACTCGGGGTGGGGGGAGTGGACTTGGCCAGCGGAAAGGCGGTGTCACGCCCTCCTCCGCGGGGCGCCGCCGTGGACAGCGCGAGCACAGCCGGTCTGCACAAACCTGGCCGCGAGGGGCGGGGCCGGAGCGGGACGAGCGAGCGCCGCCCTCCCCGCTCCGCAGCCTGCGGGACCCGGGGAGCGGGGCCTGACCGCCGAGTGGGCGGCGGCTGCCCGTCCGCTCTCGGGTCCGCCGCCGCCGCCGCCGGGCCTGCTGGGCAGCCGCGGCCAGAGGCTTACCGCAAGGCCGGACCGAGCCCAGCTGTGCCGCGGCGGGTCCTCCCAGACGGAAGCGGGGTGCGGCCGCGGCGACCACCGCTCCCAGGCTGTGCCCCTCAATTAACCGGTGAACGGGAAGCGGCCGCTCCTCACCGCTTCCCATATCCGGGCACGTGACCAGTTCTGCGCCGGAAGTGGATGTCTAGAGGCGGAAAGAGAAGTGGCGGGATCCAAGGAGCGACCGGGGAACGCCGGCCGGGGGCGGGGCCTCGCCGGAGGGGCGGGGCGGGGCGGGGCTTCTGCCCCACGGGGACTGACATCTGCTGCCCTGCGTTTAACAACCCTACACGAGCTGTTTATTCTGATATTCGCAACAATTCGCTTAAAAAGCAACCCGACTGGTTTCTTTATATGTAAAACTGTTGACTGTAGACCCTTGCTGCTTACATCTTGGAGATTTAAATGAGTTAAATCATAAACTCGGGGTTGGGATCCAGACACAGTACTTCGCACTTGATCTTCGCCAAAAGGCAATAATACTTTGAATATCTTCCTAGATGTGTCTAATACGCCACTGACGTTAAGAACCATCATGCTTGTGACCTCGATACTCCAAGTGTGGTCCACGGAGCAGCTACCAGGGCATCGTTCGGGGGCTCATTTCAGATCTACTCGAGCAGAATCTGCAGTTGGGATGATGCTTACGACATATAAGACTGAGGGTCAGGGATGATGCTAGTGTTGCTGGCTGGGAATCAGGAAATTGAATTATTCCATTTTTTTGATTCATTTATTCTTTTGAAAGAGTTATGGGGACAGAGAGACAGAGACAGAGAGTGAGGTCTTCCAACCGTTGATCAGTCTCCAAATGGCTGCAATGTCCAGCTTGGCCGATCCAAAGCCAGGAGCCAGGAGCTTCATTTGGGTCTCCCTTGGGGGTTCAGGGGCCCAAGGACTTGGGCCATCTTCCACTGCTTTCCCAGGCCATTAGCAGGGAGCTGGATGGGAAGTGGAGCAGCTGGGACTTGAAGCTGCATGCCGGCACCGTAGACGGCAGCTTTACCAGCTACGCCACAGCACCGGCCCCTAGTCCATATTCTTGATTCCAGGTGCAGAGGTGGTTTAGACATGAATCCTGTTCTGAAAGAGTTCACAATGTGGCAGGACCAGACAAAGAGGAATGTGAACAAGGGAGTCACTCCCTGTGCCGGGGCTGGAGTCGCCGAGGAAGCCAGGACAGAGATGGGCTAAATGTATTTCAGTATTTGTTTACAATGTACCTGAATGCTTTTCTCTTTGATCACATTGATTCCCTCTTAAGAGTAGGATCGAGGCCGCTCTAAGAGGTCCTTCCTGCTTGGTACAGAACACCATTGTGAACATTCCATAGGATAATTACATGTGATTTTTGGTCCTGTTCATTATCTTCTGTTTACCTGTGTCCCCAAAGTTAGCAAATGACTGAATTTCATAAGTCTAGACTCCCTCCCCAAGCTCCAGACTTATTTCCACTGTCTTGCCACCCTATTTCCACATGGATGTCTCAAAGGCACCTCACACTGACTCACATATGCCCCTGAATTTAATTCTCCTCTCTCTCTCGCCCTCATGGATCCCCCCCACACACACACACACAAAGTGAGGCTAATCTGCAGTAGTTTATTTGGGAATTTGACCCCAGAGAATTAAAGTAAGGAAGAAGGAGAGGAAATGAAACAAGAGAAGTGGGAGAGGAAACCCAAGCAAGTGGCATGGCGTTGGATATGGCCCTTTGCAAATGTTTTCTCAATCTCTCAAGGGCCTTCTAAGAAGTGTTATGAAATGATTCTCAGAACTGTCCACTGAGAGCAAGCATGGAGGAAGCACTTATGTGTTGGCTCCTGTTCCCTTTTGATCATATGCTCCTCGACGTTAAGTACTCCACAATTCCAACTTGTGTGGTCGTGAATGCCTCACTGACTGCTACATCAGAGGCCTGCCAGGGCAGGGAACGAGAGGGAAGGTACGGTCATGTTGCACCTGCCCAAAGCCCATCAAGCCTGGCTCAGGACACGTCGCCGCAGCAGTGCTTGGAAATCGGGGCTGAAGGGATCTGAGATGGTGACACAAGGACACAGAAGGTGTCCATGTCAATGCACTCCTTGCATCACCGGGATCTGCTCATGCCCTCCAATCCTCCTTCAAGGTGATGGCCAGCCATGGTCTCAGCAAGGAATTGATAGAGAGTCAGTGGAATAAGCTTCAGTTCCTTCCACTTCCTGATGCCAAGCCCATACTTGCATCCAGTCATCCCCTCCCTCCTCCACTCCCTGCCATAACCTCACTTCATGCTTAGCTAGCCCACAAGCTGATCTAGGCTATTTCTTCAGCGAGATAAACCCGACTTCCAGCCTTTACTTCCCTTGCTCTGGCTGGGGCCGTGATTGCTGTAGCTCATCTTATCTATGGGTCTAGAATTGCCAAGATAAGTTCCAGTGAATTTCTTGGAGTCCACGTATTTTCCTCCTTATTGCTATTAATATAGCTAAAATACCAGTTCATTTTGCTAGTCATCTTTGATTACTCCCACCAGTACAGTCACTCTTTTATTACTGGCTGGTCCACAGCCATGAGAAGGCCAAAGTCACCAAGGGACAGTGAGTTGCAAGTTCAGTGATTTCATATTTATGTTTCCTGTTGGAAACACTCTCCACCCAAACCCTGGGAAACCAGCTGTCGCCAGTGGAGGGTCAGGAAGATGAACCAGTCCTGCTGCCATCCCTGTTTCCATAACCATGTGTTTAGCTGTTGATTGGTTGGTTCTTTGCATTTACTGTGGCCTATAGGGTCGCACCCCAATCTCAAGAAGGCATATTAGCTGAGCCTGTAACAGGCCATGCCACCATTTTATAAGGCTAGCTACACGTCAGTGATGGGGCATAGAGAAATATGCATGGATTACACGGTCATGCATGTACAGAGGATCTTCAAAAAGTTCACGGAAAGGGTATATTATGAAAAAAAATTCTATGCATGGATTCCAAAAATTCTTGCACCAGAATAAACTCATACTAACTTGTCATGAAATGCTTGAAGAGGATCTGAGTTGAGACATTAAGGCTAGGATATCAGCTTAAAAAGAGTCCCCTTCAGAGCCACATGAGTTCTGCTAAAACTGAAACCACAAGAAGCATCTAGTTTGTGATGAAGCTTGGGTGGAAGAATAGTGAAAGCATTGACACTTTATGAAAAGTTCGTGAGAGGCGGGGTTTGAAGCATAGTGGACAGCGTGGACCGGCAACAACCTACCATAGAGGAGCCACTAGATCTCTTCAGGCTGAGCCTGGCTGAACGAATTTATGTGAAGATGAGACGTGACCGAGCGCTTCGAGGCAGAGTACGTGCTATGATCAGCATTTACATATGCTGCTGGGAGATGTGGCAGAAACAGTGACTACCACAGAAATGGAGGAGGGGACATAGGAAGAGACGTATGAACCAATAAAATGGAACATCTCGATGCTCTATCCAGGGGAAGCGGTGTTGTGCTGGTTACCCCTCCGCTGAGAGTTGGTTGAAACAAAGAATTGGCCCTGTGTAGACAGTAGGAGACTTTGTACAATTACCTCTGCAAAGGGACAGGACGTTCGGAGGAGACATTTTTGTACAATGTGATATTAAGAAATGACCTGAGAGTCTTCCACTCCTGAAAGGAGTTGATTCGCAGCCTCTTAAGCTAAGTGGCAGCTTTATTTCACCCCAGCCCTTCCAGTCGCTGTGGTCACTGAGATGTAGAACTCTTTCTGGAGTTGGTTTGCTCCATTGTGTTCGTGTAGACAATGTCTGATTCTTTTTCCTTTAAATTAAATTTGATATTTCCTTTTTGGCTTTTTAAAAATTATGCAAATAAATTAAGAATGAAAAGTTCATGAGAACAATTCCCTAAAGAAATCAGCAGCTTAGGCTGGCGCCGCGGCTCACTAGGCTAATCCTCTGCCTTGTGGTGCGGGCACACGGGGTTCTAGTCCCGGTCGGGACACCGGATTCTGTCCCGGTTGCCCCTCTTCCAGGCCAGCTCTCTGCTGTGGCCCTGGAGGGCAGTGGAGGATGGCCCAAGTACTTGGGCCCTGCACCCCATGGGAGACCAGGAGAAGCACCTGGCTCCTGGCTTCAGATCAGTGGGGTGTGCCAGCCGTAGCGGCCATTGGAGGGTGAACCAACGGTAAAAGGAAGACCTTTCTCTCTGTCTCTCTCTCTCACTGTCCACTCTGCCTGTCAAAAAAGAAAGAAACAATATTAATACCAAAAAAAAAGAAAATCAGCAGCTTAGAGCTGGATAACTCATTTAAGAGGGGCAAGATGATGTTGAAAATGAGGGCTGCATAGATCATCCACATCAGTTTGTGGGGAAAAGTTTAATTTTGTTCTGGCCTGCATTTCTCAGCTTTTTGTTACTGAGTGAAAGACCCGAGACAAGCTACTTATGAAGGAAAGAGGTTTCTTTCGGCTAATAGTTTTTGAGGTTTAAGTGCAAGATTGGGCAGCTTAGTGTCTGGTGGGGGTGGTGGAGTGTGTGCAGTGGAACTGGTGTGGGGGAGGTAGACAGGAAACTATTTAGGAAGAAAAGAGCAGGGAAAATTTCCCACAGTTTCTGTCTCTGCAGCCCTGCCCTGTAACTCCGCCCCCTTCCATGTCAAGCCAGTTCACCCATTTTCCCATGATGCACCTGCATCTCATCTGGGACTGGAAGGAGTAGCTATTCTGGGCACATGGAAGTTAAACTCCATGATGAGATGCCATGAAACCGCCAGGATACCTCACACACTCTGCCCAAACTCCACCCGATTTGAATATTTAATTAGGGGACCAACTGAACCCCACAAGGGAACTGCTGCACATGACAGCGGCCTTTTTGGTCTTCTTGGCTTTTGGCCCTTCTCTTGTCTTCTCCTGCACTCTCTGCTCTGGCCCTCTCACAGCAGGTGTCCCTCCTGCTGGGGTGCCACACTTTCTTTAAATAAATGCTGCTCTCATTTTTGTACTGTATTTTTGCCTCTGCTTTAAATTCTTATCTCATGTGAGAGAAAGGACTTGGAATAAAAACCAGAAAATATATTCCCACAACAGAAGGACCACATGGTACGCTAGGAAGCAAAGATAACGGCTGGGCCCAAATCAGGCTTTTTTCTTTTTAAGATTTATTTAGTTAT